TAAAGGAATCCCTGATTTTTCCTTAGTTAAAGAAAAAGACTTTACTTACTTAGCTTATATAAGAGCTAAAGCTATTAGGATTATATCTAGAGAACCTATAGAAGACTCAGTCTCTGTACTAGATATAATAGAGGGAGATATAGTTAAAATAAACCCTATACCCTATAATAAAAAGCCCTATAATCTCTTTCTAGTTAATAGAAAAACTAGATATTACTAGGTAATTAGTTTAGCTAATAAGGAAGCTATAACTATTAGCCTAGCTATAAGGAATCTATTTAAAAGCTTTAAAAATCAATATAATAGATATCCTAAGAAGTTTTACTTTAATAGAGGCTTAGAAGTTAATTCTAAACTAAGAGATTAGCTAGATAAAAAAGGGATAATTTTTTCAACCTCTAGCCTTTATATTTATAGTTAAAATAGACTTATAGAAAGATCTATTAGACTAATCCTAGAAAGATTAAGAGCTTCTATATTATAGGCTAATATTCCTATATATCTCTGGTGTTTTATTATAAAAGCTATAGTAAAGCTAGTTAATTTAACTACTATCTCTAATAAAGAGTTAATACCCTATAAGTTATTTTATAAGGAATTAGAACCTTCTAAAAATTCTAAGCCTAATCTAGGCTTTTATAAAGCTATAGATAGCTATTATAAAGCTATAATCTCTCTAGAAAATAGAGAAAAATCCTATAAGCTAAAACCTAGAACTAAACTAGCTAGACTATTAGCTATATTAGGTTCTAATTCTTATCTAATTTAGATATCTAAGAGAAAACTAGTAACTAAAACTAGCTATCTAAGGTTTCTAGAGAATATTAGTTCTTTAGATAAAGGTTTTCAGAATATAGAAATTATATCTTCTTCTTCTGAAAATAAAGAACTTATAAATCCCTCTCTTCTAAATACCCCTTTAGAGGGAGAAATAGAAGAATTAGATAATTCTAGAGATTCTGAAATATTAGAATCTTTAGAGGGAGATAAAGAGATTATTTTAGAAGAGCTTATTATAAAGGTTTCTCTAGAAACCTCTAATTCCCCTATAACTTCTGAATCTTTAGAGGGAGAACCTATAGAAATAGATCCTAAAGAACTTCTATACTATAGCTATAATATAAGCTATAAGATTAAGAAGAAAATATTAGATAAGGAACCCTTTTCTTTTAAACAGACTATAAAGTTAGAAAATAAGAAAGAGTAGTTAGAAGCTATATTTAATAAACTAGAATAACTAGTATATTAAAATTACTTTTCCTTTATAAATAAGACTAATATACCTAAGGATAGAAAAATCCTACTAAATAGATTAGTCTTAAAATTTAAAAGGGATTCTAATAATATCCCTTATAAATTTAAAGCTAGGCTAGTTACTAAGGGCTTTATATAAATAGAAGGCTTAGATTTTAAAGAAATTTTTACTTCTACAGCTATTCCTTTAACTTAGTAAGTTTTACTAGCTATAGCTAACTAGTTTAACTTAGAAGTTAAACAGGTTAACTTTATAGGTGCTTTTTTAAATAGCTCCTTAAAAGAAACTATATTTATAGCTATACCTGAGGGCTTTATAGAGCTTTTAAAAGCTAGGCCTTATCTAGTTAGTTATATAACTAAACTAGGTTATAATCCTGATAAAGAATAGGTTATATAGTTAAATAAAGCTTTATATAGTTTAAAATAAAGTCCTAGAGAGTAGTAAAAGTCTCTTAGAGCTCTATTTAAAACCCTAGGATTTTATCCCTTAATTTCTAACCTAGCTGTCTATTATAATAAGGTTTAAAAAATCTATATAATAACCTATATTAATAACTGCTTAATAATCGGGCCTAACTTAATAGCTATAAATAAGCTAAAAAGACAGTTAAATAAAGCTTATAAGCTAGAAGATAAAGGACCTGCTTCCTTCTTCTTAGGAATTTAAATTATAAGGGATAGAAAATATAAGACTCTAAAGCTATCTCAGTCTCAGTTTATAGAAGAGGCTTTAGAAACCTTTAGTCTTTTAGATTCTAAACCTAACTTAGTCTCTTTATAATCTAATATTCTAAAACAACCTATATCTAAAAAACTAGGTTATAAAGAGATAAAGTTATATCAAGCTATAATAGGTACTTTAATATATCTTATACTTATAACTAGACCAGACTTAGGATTTCCTATACAGTAGTTATCTTCTCAGCTAGGGTATCCTTATATAGAATACCTTAACCAAGCTAAAGGAATCTTAAAGTACTTAAAAGGTTCTAAATTTCTAGCTATAACTTATAAAGCTACTAAGGATTTTTATCCTATAGCTTATAGTAATAGTGATTTTACTGGGGATAAGTCTTCTAAGTTAACCTTTAGTTATCTTATTATCTTAGGAAATACCTCTATTAGTTAGAAATTAAAAAAGGCTTTAACTATAGCTTTATTAACTACAGAGGCTAAAATAGATACTTTAGTAGAGGCTATTAGAGAGATTTTATAGTTAAAAACCTTATATAAGAAACTAAAAAAACCTATATCCTCTATAAACCTCTATTATAATAATACAGGCTCTATTTCTAACTCTTCTAACCCTAATCTTTATAATTAAACTAAATATATACTATTAAAGTTTAACTATATAAGGGAAATTATAAAGCTAGAAAATATAAAGGTTATCTATCTTAATACTAAAGAGATATCTATAGATAGATTAACTAAACCCCTAGCTTCTATAGCTTTTAAAAGCTATATAAAGCTCCTAGGTTTATTCTAGAGGCTTTCCCTTAGAAGATAATCCTTATAAAGGGTTTATTAGAGACTATAAGTCTCTATAGCTAGATTTTATTATAGTTACTGCTTTTCTAGCCCTTTAGAAGTATTCTCTTAAATACTCCTTAATATATCTAGAAATTATAGGCCTACCCTATACTATTATAGTATACTATATTCCTTGAAAAATATACTATTTAGTATATATTTTTTCAGATTTTTATCTCTATAAATAAGTATAGTATATCCCTTTTTAGAGAGAGTATTAATTTTAAGAGGCTATAGCTACTATAAGTTAGTAGGGTTATAAGTATAATAGCAGTTATAACTACTAACTGCTAGTAATTATAGCTACTAGCTATTAGTAATTAATCTAACTATTAGAGATCGCTGCTAGTAATTACAGCTACTAGCTATTAGTAATTATAGCTACTAGTAGTTAGTAATTACAGCTACTAGCTGCTAGTAATTATAACTACTAGCTTCTAGTAATTATAGCTACTGGCTATAACTGCTAATAACCCCCTATTATTACTAGCTAATAGTAGTTATAGCTACTGTAGGTTAGTAGCTACAGGCTATTATAACTACTATAACTTAGTAGGCCCTAGGAACCCTCAGAGGTCTAGGCTACTAGCAGAGCTATTATTAGATTATTAGGCTTATTAAGCCTAAGATAAAGATCTAATAAATCTAGGAAAATCCTAGGATATTCTTAGATAATCTAATCTATATCTAGACTACCCTATAGCTAGCTTACTCTAGACTAAGTCTTAGATCTTAGATAATTCCTTTAGCTTTAAAGATAAGATATCTAATATCTATACTTAATTAATTAGCTTAAGAGCCTCTTTTAGATAAAAGTAGATTTTATAAAAGCTATATATATTAATCAAAGGTTTTAATAGTTATAAGTTAATTTTTTAGATTTTCTATAGTAATAAATTTTATAGAAAATTAAAAGTAGTCTGAGAAGCTACTATAATAGGTTTTAGAGTAGTTTTTAGTTAGTAGATCTATAAGAGAAATTAGATAGAATTTTCTAGTCTCTCTTATAAAAATAAGATTCTTTTATACTATATTTTATATTATATTTAGTCTCTCTAGTACTAAAACTTATTAAGTTATAGTAGAGTTAGTAGTTAAGAACTATAAGTTATAGTAAACTTCTCTGCTGTATTATAGAGGCTTATAAGGGTAAATGCCCTGTAAACCTACTATAAAACCAATAAGTATATTTAATAATATATTAATAATCTAGATTAAGAATTAAACTTTATTTCTCTTAATCTAAAAATAGCTAAACTCTTTATATTTATTAATAGATTATTTACTAATAACTAAGATCTAATATTATAATTTAGTTTTATTATTATTTTAATAAATAAATATAAATATAATAAAAATAATAACTTATTCTAACTAATAAGTAATATTATCTATTATAGTTTAATTAAATATAAATATATTACTTATTCTATTCTTATATTAGAAGTTTATAATATAGTTATTAATATTAATATTATATATATAATTTTAATTACTCTTTAAATAATTACTAATTATTTATTAATTAACTATATTCTAACTATTATATATATAGATTTATATTTATTATATAAATATCTAATTAAACTTAATATAATAAAGAAAAAATAATTTATAATTAATATAATAGCTCTATATTAATTATATAAGTATTATAAATTAATAAAAATATACTAGATTAATAATAAAGATAATCTTATTAATTATTTTACTAAATCTACTTCTAATTATTTATTAGAATAGTTTATTAATAATAATTTAGTTATTATATATAAGGAAGAATAGATTATATATAACTAATAATCTATTTAATTAATAGATTTTATAGGTTTTTTATTATATAAACTTTATATTTTATAGATTTATATATTTATATATATTTAATTTATTATTATATAGACTTCTACTCTTAGAAGAGTATTTTCTATCTATATTCTAATATTTTCTTTTAATTAAAAGGAAAAATAAAAAGTTATCTATATAGATATTCTTATTAGATTATTAATAGTCGATCTTATCAATTAGTCGGGTAGATCCGACTAATCGTATACTTATCCAACCTTCGGTTAGAACCTTCCAACAGCTAGCTTTTATCCTAATCATCACTCTTTTGCTCATTTTGCTGCTTTTTGCCTTGCTGTACAGCCCCTTGTCAAACCACAGAATCATTCCCGGCATGTTCCTTCTGATTGCCATCGGCGGCATCGCGACATGGTCATGCTATGTCGTCGGTAACTTCAAATTACGGCACCCCCAAGTCTACGGAATCGATGATGCAGGGTTTTTGATGTTTGGCAAGATTGGTCGCGAGTTCTTCGCTGTTGGCTTTTGCCTCTGTATGTGTACTCCCCCTGGTTGAAGGGTTAGGCAGAACCTGCACTGACCAAAACCAGCTTATATCCTCGTTGCCGGCTCCGGTAGGCTTGGAATCTCATCTCAAGTATGTCGCATCTCTACTCTGGTTTCAATCGACCTGACCGTTCCACAGTTTTCACCGTTACGATTGCCGTTGGTGTTCAAGATCGGCTGGCCGCGGCACCGCAAGACGGCCCCTGGAAATCGGACTTCGCCATCGCTAAACGCCCGACTTTCATAAAGGCTGTATCAGCCCTCTCGACCTACATCTCCGCATATGCAGCAGCGCCTCTTTTCTTTCCTGTCATCTCAGAGATGAAGGATCCCCGCGACTATACGAAGGCCCTCCTCGTGTGCCAGAGAGGAGTCACCATCACCTATGGTGTCATCGGATGCCTTGTCTATTACTTCTGTGGCTCGTATGTGGCATCTCCTGCTCTGGGATCTGCCGGTGGCCTTCTCAAAAAGATTTGCTACGGGATTGCCCTGCCTGGGTTGATCGCCAGCACCATCCTACTCCTCCACGTATGTAGACCGTAGCCTACTTCTCCTTCCAAATACAAACTCCTAACAGTGTTAAATAGCTACCCGCCAAGTACATCTTCGTCCGTCCACTCCGAGGCACCAAGCATCTTACATCGAATTCAAAGACACACTAGATCGTGTGGCTCAGCTGCACTTCCGGTTCGGCTGTGATTGCATACATTGTTGCAAGCGCAGTTCCCATTTTCGGAAACCTCGTGTCGCTTATCGGAGCCGTATTCAACACAACTCTGGCTTTCCAGGCCATGGCCTGCATGTGATTCTACGATAACTGGAATAGTGAAGACCGAAGAACTCTAAAATGGACCCTGATGGTGTCTTGGGCTGCATTCGTCATCATTCTAGGCGTCTTTCTTACCATAGCCGGAACATACGGATCAATTGTAGAGATCATCGACAGTTACAAGATCTCTGGGGGACCAGCGGCTTGGAGTTGTGCTGATAACTCAAACTCGACCTGAGAGTACCTGGATAAGATGTTTCATGGGAGAAATTCAGTGCCAAATGCAATAAATGAAAAAGAATATCTCAGGTTATACAGAAGAATCATATCGAGGAAACAACTTGTCACTGTCTTAATGCTATGAACAAGTCTTCTTGTTCGTGCTAGGTGAGGGCGTGTTTGACATCTGACTTTAATTAGACAATAGCCGTCCGATTGCTATCATACACACCGGCATTCAACAGCCAGTTTCGGGGTTCTCTATCGTGTAATCCGGTTCGATGACTTCATCGGTTCATCACACCACAGTCAATTGCGGTCGGTATAGCTGCTAGGTCTTGAACTCGTCTCTCGAATTCATTTCTCTTACTTGTCTTAGCCTACTCTGAAGCGCTCCGTGCTAATTATCGATTCCTTTACTCTCGTCTAGTGTACTAATGCTGTCAGAAACCTTCATAGGTACCCAGCCAAGCGATTGCTGCACCCTCTGTAGTAATAGGTTCTCCAGATATACGCCATCTAACAATCACCTGATGCTTCAGCGTGTCATGAAAAAAAAAAGCAGTCAGGCAGGAGACTCCGAGCCGGTACCGGGCCGGAGTCACCGAGCAGCCGTTTCTCCTAGGTCGAGACCATCTGCCGTCTTAGCCCATGTCGCCCACGATTTCCCCACGACACGCAGAGCGGCAAGAGACTCCGAGCAAAACCCCACAAAGCTTTGTCAAACACGCCTTGTCCCCGTCCCCTCACTCACGGAATCGCATGCACATTCCCTATTAGCAAACGCCCCATCTGCCTTCTCCTTATCTCTGCCCAGTTAGCCGATTGACACAAGTCGATAGGCAATGGCGGGCAGGCCGGTGGGGAAGGCCATGAGTAAAGCGACTGGCTAGTGAGTCCGTGAGCTCACTATTAAAACCTCACTCACCGTCTGCCGTTGCCTTGACCGTTCTCAATCCCGTCTTCACCGTCTAATACTCCATTCGACAGAAGATTTCTCCTTTGGAGGCCGGACGTGAAGACTCACAGTTACAACCAACAGCTTTACCCAATCATGAAGGCTGGCCTAGCCCTCTCGACCCTCCTCCTCCCCTTTGGAGCCTATGCTTGCGGCGGTCATGGCGAAGTGAGAGAATGGAGCCAAGAAGAAATCGACGTGCTCGAGGAGAAATGGGGAACAGACGTAAGTACAAAAAACCTTCGAAAGACATGGGAGAACCGTGAACGTGAACTAATCCCTACAGTGGTCGTTCTCCGGCATCTCAACATTTGCACATCTCCCTCACGTGCGATGCCTCACCACCCCCAGCGAAGTCTATGATGTCGCCATCCTCGGCGCCCCCTTCGACACAGCTGTATCCTACCGGCCCGGCGCGCGTTTTGGCCCCCGCGCCATCCGTGCTGCCTCCGCCCGCCAGACCAGCTTCCGCGGCTTCAACGCCCGCGCCAACATCAACCCCTACGCCTCGTGGGCCAAGATCATCGACTGCGGCGACATCCCCGTCGTCCCCATGGACAACGCCCTCGCCCTGGAGCAGATGACCATCGCCTTCACCGAGCTGGGCCAGCGCCCCGCCGTCTCCCCCGTCCTCAACAAGCCCAAGCTCATCACCCTCGGCGGCGACCACAGCCTCGCCCTCGCCGCCCTCCGCGCCCTCAAGGAGTCGTACGGCGCGCCTCTCCGCGTCGTCCACTTCGACGCCCACCTCGACACCTGGCACCCGGCCAAGTACCCCTCCGCCTGGTCCAGCAAGCAGACGCACTTCAACCACGGCAGCATGTTCTGGCTCGCCGGCCAGGAGGGGCTCATCGCCAACTCCTCGTCTCAGCCCTCCCTGCACGCCGGCCTCCGCTCGAGGCTGTCCGGCAGCGAGTACCCCAACTCGGACTACCTCGATGACGACGCCCAGAACTGGGTGCGCATTGCCGCCGATGAGATTGACGAGATTGGGCCCAGTGCCGTTGCTGCGCGCATCATGAAGACTATCGGTACCGAGGATCCCGTCTACCTCAGCGTGGATATTGATGTCTTGGATCCCGCTTTTGTAAGTCTACAATTCTCTTTGTTTGCTTGATTACTTGACGTGCTAACGGATACTGTTCAAGGCCCCTGGTACTGGCACCCCTGAGCCTGGTGGCTGGACGACCCGAGAGTTCATCCGCATTCTGCGGGGAATCGAGGGTCTGAATGTCGTCGGTGCCGATATAGTTGAAGTCTCGCCTAGCTACGATGGGAGGGGCGAAGAGACAGCTTTGGCTGGAGCCCAAGTAGCCTACGAGATCCTGACCAGCATTATCAAGAAGGGTTTGGAGAAGCCGGCCAAGGTTGACGAGGCCAAGACCAATGAGGCAAAGGACGAACTGTAATTTACAAAGTGACAATGTAGATATACTAAGCCAAGCATGTGCATGTGAAATGAAGAGGTGGATGTTATGATGACTGGAGTTTACGGAAGGCGGAGCATTTGAGCATACCAAAATTGATATTATATTATTCTTGTATTAATTATGATTACACGGGCAAAATATGAATATCCAAGCTGCGATAAACAGTCATCCCATCTGGAGCACCAACACCGTGGCACTGCCGCAATTCGTCCACCCTTTCCCAGACCTGCTGCACGACGTCCCATTGCTTGTCGATATTTGCAAGCCCGTAACTCAGCACCCGCTCCCACCATCTTCGACAAATATCTCGCTGAGTACCAATGGCATCGAGAGAAGCGATTGTCGCAGGCCAAGTGAGCGGTGCCATGAGACCTTGCCTGGGGGATCCGGGCATCATCTTCGAATCCTCAGCGGCATGCATGTGCTCCATCGTGTGTTGTATTTCCTGGGTCAGGTCTGCGCTCTTCCAGCTCTGTATTCTCCTGTAATAGTAAACGAGGGCTGCATGGTGCCATGCGTGGGCTTGGTGGTAAAATATGGTGGAGATGTACACGTCGTTGGCCTGGATCGAGCTTATCGTCTCCAACTCAAATCTCCAGGACAGCAACTTTTCTCCCAGAGACTCGCAGGCTTCAAGCAGATCATTGGGTATGGAAGAACTGTTACCGCCATCTTGCTGAAAGCGTAAAAGATATTCTCCCAGGCGACACATTTCCAAGATGGTTCCCGCTATGACGGGTGTGATTCCGTACATGAACTCAAAGCATGTATTAGACTGGACCAGATCCATTTCTTCATCAAGGGCCTGTTGCTCTCTCCCAGACCAAGTCGTAGATGAAGGTTGGAAAGCAAGCGTCCTCGTAAGTAGGGATAAGAAAAAGCTGATCTCGTTTACTTGCCGAGTCTGGCTGCTAACGACCCTCCATCGGTTACGAGAATTCCGTAACTGATTCGCTGCTCCGAGATGGACTTGGAAATCTGCGCCGTCTCCAGATACAACCTATCAAATAGTAAGCTCCTGTTCCTAAACCTCGGGCTCAGATTACTTACTCCAATGGTGACGAGGGACAGCATGGCCATCATGAGTGTCTTGTAGTCTGCACCGCTTGCGGGTGATTGCATGGCGACTCTCAACGAGCTGAGGGCATTCTGTTGATGCGCCACCCCTAAGCTTTTATATCTGGCATGATACTTATTTCGATTCCACAGGTGGTAAGCTGCTGATGCCAGCACCGAATGGAATAGCGTGGAATAAATGGTGGGAGCACATTCTTTTGGGTCCAGGATATTTTTAATTGCCCCTTGAAGTGCTGACGTGAGGAATAAGCCGCGCGATCGGTATTGGTTTTGTGGATGAAGAAGTGGTTGTAGGATATCAGCCACGTGAATCATATAATGGTCGATGAGGGAGTCTATCTCAATATCTCCAGATAAGGTGATGCGTGGGTTCCGGGGCAAGGCTGGATGCCGAAGGAAATCCTGGGCATGTGTTTGAACAGGCGAACCAAAGGAGGTTTCGTTGTGGCCAGTGCTTTGAAAAACGACCAACTCACTGCCGAAGTTTTGGTCTTGGCTGATGTCAGGGGTAGAACGATTCAGGTAGGGATCCAACACTCCATCCAGTTCATCCAGTTCATCTGAGGCGATGGGTAGGCTATCTTCTTGCACAAGCTGGCCCTGATCGATAACTCGCCCCTCTTCTGATTGTGCTATTGGTGCAGTAACTGGCAAATATGACGAGTGGTTCTCGTTTAGATCCACAGCGTAGTCCTCATAGTCCCACTCTTGCCGAGTATGGGCACCACTGTCGTGAGGGTTTAGAGGATCAGAGGTGATGGCTAGTGAAACTGAGTTGTCTCCCTTACTCGATCCGCTAAGATCATTCGGTTGGACTGGGAAGACTGAGAATGGGCCATGTCTCACGGTTTCCCCTGATACAGCATCCCCATCAATGACACCCAGGAAGCCGTCGATGTCGTCCGGACGATACCGCTGCCCGCTCAACTTGTCTATCGAGGGGGTTAGCCTATGGCTTCCAAGGGATGTAATCGAATGGCTGAAAAGAAACAGGATGGGCAGCAAATTACCTAGTTTAATACTTCTGCGGCCTCCAGTGCCACCAGCTTGTTTGTCAGGTTGCGTAAACGGGTCTGAGACCCACTGCAGCCGGATCCCATAGCCACCGCACGCGACACCCCTCTTTTCGCAGTTCCTACAAGATACTGGTGTCTCGTCACATCTTATCTTCCGTGCTTTGCATGTCCAGCATCTAGTCGTGTTAGCACGTCGGAAACTGGTTGGTGAAGAAGTAAAAATGGGGTAGCCAAACAAATGCCCGCATACCCTGTGAACGTCATAGGCCGCGATGGAAGTCGACCTCCCATAGCGAAAACTACGGCAGAGTCATTTGCCGATATCGTTGTATATAGAGCCGTTCAATTTCCCAATGCGCTTGATGGTCCGAGTGAGATCAAGGGGGCGAAAGAATTGAGACAAAAGCGTCGCAATGTCCGTTATCAGCAGCAACGGCAACCGGCACGATGGTGCTTTTATGAGAATCGACAGATTGGTTCCAATGTCCCGTGACCAGGCTTATGTAAGTCACAGATGTCACTGCTAGCCCAATCTTATCAAGGTCTCTTCCATCGCAGCCTACCCTGCAACTTGCTATCCAGGCACTCCCTTTTTATCGAAATATTAAGCCAGTATTACAGTTAGTTGAATTCTATAGATGATTAAATTACATGGCGATTCTTCCCGAGACAAAATTATAATTTAGCTGGATGGAAACAACTAAATTGTGATCGACATTAAAATCTTAGAAATCTTAGATGCCTTCATGCCGCTTGTAATCTCATAGTCTGACACAAAACTAACTTGAAACCAGAGTTGACGTTTACCTCCCAGATTCGAGTTGACACATCCAGAGTTGTTTGGAAATAAAAATCCAAGGGCTTTGGCTAAAGAACAGGCGAAGAAAATTCCGCTAGAACAGAAAAGATGGCGGTGGGCGATGGAATTGACGCTCAGTGATGTCACGTGATGACCACAATGCTGAATGCCAGACACAATGGAAACGTGACCGCCAATTCTGTATGCTGGCTCCACTGATGCCACTGCCTGAAACTCCGCAATCCGCTGTGTCGGTGTGAATTGAAGCACCTCATTAGAATCTCCGCAGAACAAAACGTCCCTCACCTACCACGGTAAAGCACACTTGTATCACCGATTACTTGCTGCCGATTTCTGTGGGCAGAAGATGACAAAGAAGCCAACAGTCGTCTTTTTGCCGGGCTCGTTTGCCTCCGACGAAATTTATTTCGATGTCCGGGATGCCGTGATAAAACGTGGCGTCGATGCCCGTGTACTTCCACTGCCTTCCGTGCGGCTCGGACCGGATGATCACCGACCACCGCCCAATATGTTCGATGACGCCGCAGCTATTTCCCAAGAGGTCGAGAGGCTTGCCGACGAGGGAAGAGACGTCATTCTTGTCTCTAGCTCGTACTCTGGTGTTCCCAAGACGCAGAGCTGTGAGGGACTGGGAAGGGCCGAGCGGGAGCGCAATGGCAAAAGTGGCGGCCTCGCTACACTTGCCTACATGTCGGCAATAATTCCCCAACTAGATCAAGCCTCAACCGAGATTTTGGTTGATGTGCCGCTGGACCATGTTATCCCAATGGACTGCGATGTTTGTCTGCCCTGCTCATCCCGATAACGTCTTGGTCACCTGGTCGAAAAAAGCTGATATTTCTATGTAGGATGATGGATGGTTGAAAATAGACCCAATTGACTACGCCCATTCTGGGTTTTTAGTTTTTTCAAACCTTCCAAAGGACCAGCAGATGGCATGGGCGAGGAAGACCGCCCAACATTCTTCCAAAGCCTTTGGTAGCAAGGTGACTTTTCTCAGTTACACGATCCCAGAGGTCGCTCTTGAGGTACTCTTCAGCGAGAATGATAAAGTAATTTCACCGAAGAATCAGCGACTGGGCATTGAAAGATTGGAAAAGTATTCTGGAAAGACAGTTGGAGTCACTTCTGTTGCTGGAGATCATGCCCCGCACATTTCCATGCAGGAACAGGTCGTCGACTGGCTTGTAAAGATTGCAGAGACCTGTTAATGACTTAAAGTCTAGCGGGAAGCTCATTAGAAGCATAGCAACGATCTGGCCATCAACATATATCAAAAGGGAGTTCTCAAATGAATTTCATTGAAAAAGGAAGGTAATCAAAAAGGAGTGTGAGAAGTGAAAATCCTTGATCATTGTTTTGTTATGTACCGAATCACAATCAATCCTTCAAGTTGGCCTAAATGTGCAGCCCTTGAATCATCACTAACAGTAGCGAAAGAAGGAAAGAACAGAAAAGAACTTATTTCCCTGTGGCACGTACCACGTAGCCCCTTCAGCCGTGGTGCCCACCACTCAGAAGTCCAGGATGGCAGCACCCCGGCGATATCGCTAAGCATTCTCTTCCCAGAGACACGGGGCAACCCGCTATAGGGTCGCAGTTCGGGTGCGGGTGTGGAAGCCCGATGATGGGGGAGGGCCAGGAGTAGGGACAGGACGGCTAGAGTGAGAGATTGAAGGGGGAGGACCAGTGTGAGAAGGGCGAGGAGTGTGCACTGGGCCACCAGGCCCACTAGTAAGAGCAGCAGCCAGGGCATTCAGATCATCGACGTTGGAGGGGCCCCCGGGAATGCCGCTGGGAGTGGGGATTGGTCCAGTAGGGCGGCTGGTGGGAGGCCCGCCAGGCCCGGAGGGAGTAGGGATGGGGCCAGTGGGCCAGCCAGTAGGAATACCAGTTGGCCAGCCCGTAGGAATTCCAGTTGGCCAGCCAGTAGGCCAGCCAGTTGGAAAGCCGGTTGGCCAGTCTGTTGGAATGCCAGTGGGCCAACCGGTTGGGATACCAGTTGGTGTTGGTACCTGGCGTTCTTCAAGATCAGGGGTAGGAGCGCCGCTTGGAATACCACTAGGGATGCCGCTCGGGGTAGGTCTACCGGTTGGGAAGCCAGTAGGAATTTCAGTTGGCCAGCCGGTTGGGAAACCAGTTGGGAAGTCGGTTGGCCAGTCTGTTGGAATACCAGTGGGCCAACCGGTTGGGATACCAGTTGGTGTTGGTACCTGGCGTACCTCAAGATCAGGATTGGGAACGCCGCTTGGGATACCGCTCGGGACACCACTGGGAATACCGCTCGGGATGCCCGTGGGACGGCCAGTAGGAGGCGGACCAGGCGTGGGAATGCCCGTGGGGAAGTCGGTTGGACGTCCGCTTGGGAGCCCACTGCTGAACTGAGGAGCAGCCCAGCTGCTAGACAGATACAGAGCGATTGAAAGAAGGTAAAGAGATTGGCCCATCGTTACGAATAAGCGTCAGAAAATATTGAGAGGAATAGCTGAATGGTATTGAAGGACTGTAATGATCTGAGGAATGGCTTTCGACAACAGGAGAACTCGTCGCCTTATATACGGGATTCCTTGACGTCTTCTAACCATGAGATCAGAATCAGATACGGCACGTCGCGGTGACTCTTCGTCTGATCGACATCACCAATTTCCAGTCGGAATCTAGATTGGACTTTGTCGGCCCAATTGCAATTGGTGGAGCAACAGTCATTGATGGTTTCGAAGACTATCGCGACGCGTAATCATGAAACCCTCGCAGTATTACACCATATGCCGGCACTAAATCGTCAGTCGTCGGCACTTGCTGGAACCGAGCGGGGGAAAACCTCCGAGGTGGATGGCCGAGCACGCCTTGTCCATCGCGAATCGACTTGGCACCCCCCGCCAAGGACTGTGACAGCGTCAGGGGTTCAAGTGTCTGGTAGGGCAGTAATTGCATCTTCTCTGATATCTGATTGGCATATGCTATAGAGATCTACAGAGTACGCTATTCTGGCTAAAGAAGACATGTTTCCACGCTATCTCTCAACAGGCGAGAGATCCCTCGGACATCTGTCTCCTGATCCCATGTTGGAACATGGAGCGGGACATTATGTTAAGCTACTGCTAATGGAATTCTCCGCTCATCCCGGTTTGCAAAAGCTTGATTTTAATTAGTATGTCGATCTACCAGGTAGTACCCAACCTTGATTGGAGGAAAATCAGCCGAGCGCCATCGAATAATGATATGACGAAGGATCCTTAAAATCATTTAGCTTGCAAGACATCTTAACACTCGACCGAGAGTCTAGTCCAAGTCTTGAATTCAAGTTCCGAGAAAAGAAAAACAATAAGAAACTGATATATTAAGGAATTATAAATGCTGGAGCATTTATGGTTCCATCGGGCGCGCCACATGAATTAAACTGGTTTTCACAACCATCCATCCAAACCCCTGAGTGCGTAAACTGGTGTTTCAAGTTGTCGTGCCGGTTTCCCGCAGCCCAATACGACATCAGCCACTAAGATCAGTCCTTGTGAATTTCTTCTCTTCTCTTTTCCTCCAATTTTGTTATTATGCCGTTGTTTTGCTCCAACAGCTCGTCATCCAAAAAGACACACGGATTCCTGGACACGGTCCGTGGGATCCCATACCCGGTAGATCCTGCATAAATCGCCATTTTTTCTAATAGCTGACGAATCAGTACGCATTTACCATGCTGTGATTAGCCAGGGTCACAAATAACCAGCCTGCTTGAAGACTTGAGCCGGCGAATTCGGGCCGCCGTTTCATACCATAACGCTCCTCACATATTGTGGAAGCCCGAGAATCTCGATTACCATGATAATTACGTCGTCCACTACATTAGAGTTGTGCTATATTAAATATATGTTGTTCGGATAGAATCGAAAAGAAGCGTACTTGAGCAACATGGATGGGTAAAGGTGGTGGGATCAGAAATGTCGATACCTTGCTACAATACATCAATGGCAAGCGGCCATCTGTGGAACGGAACCCAGCTTTGAGTGCTCCCTTCTATGCTCAAGTTGACAATCGACTTATCGTATCACAATTAGCCTAATTACTCTTACTAAAGCTAAATTTGTCATGTTATTTCAAGATACACGAACAATGTTGAATTTGATTACTAATTTATAGAGTAAATAATCTTTTTTACACCTATATCTTATCAATAACTATTCTATATACAAGTGCTTCCATTCCTCAAGAAGTTTATTCATCTCCGGATCTGAAACCAAGATCGCGTTGCCAGTATTGTTTGTGAACCTAGGATTCGCTTTTCCAGTCTGAAGTAGGCATAGAGCCATTTCCTTCTGAGATGACCATGCCGCCCACCAAAGTGGGGTGTGGCCTTGATTGTCCCTTGAATCAATCTCGACTGTTTTATTAGTCTGATCTAGGATTTTCATGAACCAAATATTTCCGCTCTGAGCAGCCCAACTTAGCGGACTACGGCCTTGTGTATCTCTAGAATCGGGGCCAACCCGATCAGATTGAAGTAAAAGTTGCAGAACTCGACGTGAGCTTATCGCCATATTACTGGCAGCCCAGCTCAATGGGCTTCGGCCATTGTTATCTCGTGAGTTGGGATTAACTCGAGGAGATTGTAGTAATACCCCAACAATAGCACTGGGATCCCATTTGGAGATAGTAGTCCAACTCAACGCGTCCCGACCGCTATCGTCTCTTGACCCGAAATCAATTTGTTCAAGGGTCGATAGATACTCAACCACCTTGGTATTCGAAGATTTATTGGCATAGATTAATGGCGTACAGCCCTTATCATCCCTTGAATTGGCATCGACTTGGCCAGTTTGGAGCAATGCCTCAATAATTCGAAGGTTACGCTCACAATTCCCAAAGAGGTGGTCAGGAGGGGTGTCGCCCTTCCATTCTGAAGCCCAACTCAGTGGAGTCCGGCCATAGTTATCCTTCGAGTCCGGATCAACCCTCCCTGTTCCGAGTAGAAGTTGAACAACATCCAAATGATTCCCGGTCACAACCGTTCGGGCAGCTTCTGCCGCAGCCAGGCTCAGCGGTGTCTGCCCATTTTGGTCCCTCATATCAGATTCAACTTGTCGGATCTGCAGAATATATTCAACGACCTTGGAAGATCCGCATTGAGATGCCCACGAGATTGGCGTGCGTTTCATGTCGTCTTCGGAGTTAAGGTCAGATATGCCGGAGTCAAGAAGTATTTTCATAACGCCCAGATTATTCCATTGTGCAGCCCAAGAGATCAAGGTTCGGCCGGTGTTATCCTTGGAACAGGGATCGATCTGTTTCGTGTCTCTGAGCTCACCAGCGTAACTCATTTGTGTCTTGTCCACGTGCAGATTGTCTTCAGTATTCCCTTCATTCTGCAGATTCGGGCGGTTACATTCTACCAGAAAAGCAACAATATCCAAGGCGCCATACTCTGCTAAATGCGAGATGACGGATCTAGACTTTGAGAACACAAAGTCATAGGGCAGCTTTATTAAGACTTTGCTGGCTTCTCTTAGTTCTTCAAGCTTCGCCCTAAAAAAGCTTTCCGGAGATAACTTTTCCATGAGTAGACTCCGGAAATGATCAATGACGGCTTTATTATCATTGGCAATGGCTACTAATAGGGGACAGCCGCATCTTTCCTCCCCCACTGTCAAGAATGAAGCGAGTGAAGGGAAATGCTTGAGAAGATGCGGTGCATCTAGTTCCGCTAAAATGTAGTTTAGCCGTGTGTTGTGATTGTATTGCCGGATCCAGCGTAAATCAAAGATGTTATCAAGTGCAATCCAATTCGTCCGTAGGAAGTCAAACACAAACTGCTTTTGTGATATGCCATCACTCTCAGCTAGATCTGCGTGGAAGATAATGTTTTGGACGGCATATTGTAGGAACGGGAACGAGAGGGTAGCTTTGTCATGAAGTTCTTTGGCTGCGCCATAATTGAGGGGTTGTGACTTTTCTGCAAGGCCGAGTGGACCGACTATATCATTTCGAATGTACTTGAGACAGGAATCTCGAAGTCGAAGATGGCACTTCCCTATTAAATTATCGCTAAGACTGGGCCATCTACTGCTTAGGCCTCCATCTCTAAGCAGAAAGTCTCGAATAGATTCGTGGATGAACTGAACGGTGGGAGGCTCAGATTTGGTGATCTCGGCCAGGCCTTTAGAATGCTCCAACACAAAAAGTCTAATGTCACGAGGAGGTAGATCCTTTGGGTCTAGCACAACATCCTCAACGTCCTGGATAAGGGCAAAATAGAGCTCTTTAGGAGTGAGTGGATATCTGGCGAAGAGGACCCATTGAAAACAGAGCAGATGGCGGTTGCTATCCGTTTCTGTTTGTTGAGTAAGAATGAGACGAAAAAGCTGGTGCAGATCTGATGGGATCTCTTGAAGTTTGCGCTGAAGATTGTATAAGCGTCCGTGCTCCCGTTCCCGGTTTAGTATTTCAACAACAAGAACAGCCCACATGAAAATACCGGATGCCTTTCTATGTAGTTCCGTTTGTATGTCTCGAGCGAGGTTGCTGGGGCCTATGTTAAGCTCGCTTTTTATATATTTAGTGATGTCACTGCTGTGGTCCTTTTGGTCTTCCAAAATAATTTCAAGACCAAGCCCGTCCTTGAAACCGACATGTGGGTAGTGACGGCTTGAAAAACAAACTCTGAATGAGCCGTTGGCCGACAGACTTATCTGTGCCATTCTTTCGAAGAATCTCAACATTTGTCGTACATCATGTTCGTGACATTCGTCAAGAGCATCAACGAAGCACATTATGGAACAGCCCGTAGCTTGGTCGATAGTTTGTTCAAAAAGCTCCTCAAGTTCTTCAACAGTCCATTGTTGTCGATTATCAGTCTGATTCTCGAGACTATCAAAGATACTTTGCAAGGGTAGAAGTTGTTGAAAGATCTGTATCAAAAGTGCCCGATACATGCCTAGAGTTGTTTTTTCCAAGTCATGACCCCGAGCATTGAAAAAGAAATGAAGAGTGGCATCATAAAGGTCTGCTGTCTGAGTCGCCTTCAACAGATATTTCATGATCGTTGATTTGCCGGTGCCAGGATTGCCCTTGAGCCAAATAAATCCAGCATGGTCGCGCAGTTTCATGGGATCCTTCCAAGTGAGAAAAGCTGGATGGTTCAGAAGCCATTTGCAGGTTTCGCTATGAGGATTTTTTATATTTAGCCTCCGAGCGTTGATTTGTTCAAAATATAGCGTGTCCATGATCTTTTTTCTGTTTTGCTGATTCAAATGCTGAGGAGCTTGAGAATCAAGAGCTGGTTCTGAGCCATAATTAGCAAGTAGCAAGCGATTAATATCACCAAGGAATGCTTCTTACCTGCACTAATATGTAGTGGTACTTCCGAAGACTTAGGCTGGATTAATAGAAGGAGCTCCTTGGCATATGCTGCGGCTGTGGCAGCTGCATATGGTTGCCATTGTTTGTTCTTGTGGGAGTCGCAGTAATCACATATTCCACGCACCACTAAACAAGGAAAGTGATCCATCATTCCTGCCGCTTCCATTTCAAAGCACAATATGTTGTCATGCCTTGACAATTTGTCCCTTGTCACGCCATGTTTCATTACTTGATTCCCCGAGGCGACCGTACCATAATGAATTCTGGGTTGGGGATCTGGCCGTGATGGTCGATCTCGAATTCTCGATTGGTCGCAATAATCACAGTTATCTCTCAGTTCATCATGTTCATATGAGCTCTCAAAGAGTCGGTCATTCGAGAGGCTTGGGTATTTATACTGCTTCATGCTTGGATTGCGATCAAGTGCATCAGAGAGAATGGCGGGAAGCTTGGTCGATAACGCATGCTGTGCCCTCAGTCTTGCCACGGCCGTCAATACCCCATGTGGCGGCTTGACGGGACTGCTCGTACGGCGAAATTCACCAGCTTGAGTTGTCTTACCGAAGTCGTATTGTATAACCTCATGGCCAACAACAACGTCACCGAGCCGAATATCGGCGTTAAGCGGCACGCCACCCCCAATACCAACCATGAGCCGGATCTCTAGCGAAGGAAAGCTTCGCCTCATATTATTGGCTACTACAGCCGCATTATTCGTCCCATAGTACCCTGAAGGCAGGCACGCAATGACGACGTTGTGTGAGCCGATGTTTCCAAAGCTGTATTCGTTGTCATCGCCCAGTTTCTTGGGCAGGGCTTCATGGGTACAATCCAGCATGGTTATTGCGGCGGCCATCTCGATGGGCAGAGCGCATACCCAACCAGCAGTGTAGGCCTCGCATGTGAGCTTTGAACGGTCAAGACCGTTGTCGCTAGTTTGCAGCGTCCGCGCTCTTTGGCGCTTAGTGGAAGTGGCGAGAGTGTCAACATTTCCCCGCTTGGTACGGGTACGATCAGTAGAGCCCCCTGTGTCCATTTGGGACTATCTGACATACTTGGACAGACTGAGGGGTTGTCCAAACATGCGAAGAAGGTAGTAATAAATTCTGCTGACCTTTTAAGGTCGAGTTCGCCTCGTCAAAGTTCCTGTCGCCTTGATCGCCCGCCTCACGTCACGTGCGCAAAATATGGGTCACTGCCATTTACATGAGAACATCTGAGACCACTTTCTATCATAGATACAAAAATTCAGTAAGATATAAATAATGCAAAGTAACAATATAAAGTATTTTTATTTCTCAAGAACCTATATTTATTAGCAGTCAATAAACTACAACGCTAGTTGTCGAAGGCCATTAGGTGTCTTATTTCTCATCACCCACTTGCTCACGTTGGATTCTCCACTCCATTTCAATCCGCTTCGTACAGATCGTATTCGATCTCAAGCTAAAATCAGACCAAACACAACACGCAAAGCACGCCACCCAAACCAGTATTCCTGGGAGTATTGACAGCAACAGCCATCTTATCTATGAGGCGAGAGAACCCAGCATACTCTATACGATACCATGGCCTTTTTGAAGAAACTGTCATCTCTAAGGTGTGCGACGACTTAACCGATTGGTACTCGGATCAGAGCTGACATAACACGCGACTTGGCAGGAAGCGGCGAAGCCTCCAGTCAGGGAGAACTGAACAGGTCGCGGATGGGTCTCCTTCAACTCCCTCTACAAACTTGGTTGATATAAATGAAACACCAGAGCCACCCAAATCTTCAACTAAGCCAGCCTCAGGGACAGCACCACCAGCCCCCATTCCAGAAAATCAAAACGCTCAGCAACAACACCAACCTTCGCCAAACAAATCAACTCCGGAGTCTAGCTTCCTCGCACAGGCTCAAGCTAATAAGTCTAATGCTCTACAATACCAGAGATTAGCCTTTGCCCAGGTAGGAAGCACATCACCTCAGCTTGACACAGCATTAAGCAACATCAACATCTCGATTCAGCTTAACCCGGATGATGGCATATCATGGAAGTTGAGAGGCATTATCTTGCAAGCTACCGAAAACTACGAACAGGCTTACATGGCCTACACGGAAGCTGTAGCGAGGCTAGAGGGCCCCGAAAAGCAAACAGTGCAACAAACTCTGTCCTTACTGGCCATGTTGAAGCAGGCGCAGCAGGCCGAGGCGGCAAAACGAGGACAATATATCCCTCCGAATCCCATAGCTCAGACCCCTCTATCCACACAGACATCGACACAAACATCACCAATAGCCCCAGCCCGGCCAACTCAGATGGGCCTAATAACACCACAGCCAACAGCCGTGGACCACCCTCAGGCAAGCCAAGGCCTGCATGCCCCAAAGCCCATATTGCTCGAACCACCATCCTCATCTAGCGTTGCCCATCCGCTACTGGAAGAGATTCGGGCACTAAAGCATCCTAAGAGCAGAGACCTCCTCATGACTCTTACCCGGAAATGTCGAGGCGCTCTGTATCTTGTAGAGTTCAATGGTCTAGGTTCCGTTGATCAGGTGGCATTATTCTTCCTGGGCTATAACTACACCGCTTCCCAGCGGCTTGATATGCCCCGTTCACCACCTACTCTGCATCCTTCTTGGGGTAAGTTGAGTTCAATAGGGTATCGACGAAATTGTGTGACTGCATCTGACATATGGTATTACATTACAGAAAAGAATTATTGGCGTCTTCAGCTCAGTTCAGATAAAAGAAGGTTTGACTATAATTTCGAGTCTCTGTCACTTCCTGGTAATGAGGTGTTCGACTTTGACTGTGAGACCATAGCGAACTATGACGGTTGTCATTTAGGAACTGCCAGTGTCCGAGGATACAGTGAAGCATACAGGCTGCAACAAGGTTCCTTGCCAAAAGGCCACGCAAGCCTAGAGGTTTTCAGTGCAGCGCAGACTTGGATGGAGCAGCTCTCGATCAACGCACTCAATGAAAATATTTCGATGTGCTCTAGAGCCTGGTCTCTCGATAGGATCGGGGCCACCGGACTCGACGAGGCCATCATCTCTTACGCCACGTAAGATACCGCCACCTCCCCTTATCTCATCAGACTTTCTAATCATTTCGCTAGATCCGGAGATGGAGCAGCCTGTGCCACTATTCAACTAACTCCTCCAAGTTTCCTCTCCGATGTCCGCGGATTTTCCGCCTTCTCGTCTAATATCGCCAAGATCACAACCAGAGAAGCAATCGGCCTCCAAAAATTCTTGCAACATATCCTCATGGGCGAGCTAGCCTCTGTGCTCGTAAAAAACTTGGCGAAAAATCCACGGTTTCCAAACAAGGTACAAATCAGTCCGGCTTTATGTGCACTTATTGCGCTCGCCCGCCTCTGGAGAGAGCACCTTGCTGTCCGTCCTGTCGTCGGCACGAACAATTGGAACCTTGTTCCAAATCATGCTCAGATTCACGCAGAAGGGCTTGTACGGTTTGCCGAGGCCTTAAGATGGCCATATCTCAACGAAGCGTGTGCCAGCATCAACGAAACGCTTCAAAGCTTTACATCTAATATGTTTGGGTCAGGCATTCACCCTTACCATATAGACTGGCTACTTGGGCTTGTTCTTCCTGGTCGGTATTTTCGACATCAAATCTTGAGCTCTTTGGTCCTCATATGCGCAGAAACACGCGAGCTAGGTATTTGCCCCAGCTTCGACAGTGGGCTAGTCATATTTGACAAGAGTTATTGGCCGAAACTTACTGTTTTGGGTCGCATTCTCTCGTCCCTGGATCACAGCAAGGTAACATGCGGTTGGGTGCGGCCTCTCCCTGCACCAAAAGTACACGGATTGTCATTCGCATGGGCCAGGATTGAGGCTAAGCCTGTCCCCATGCTGCCTCCATTGTCCCTAGAAGGGTTGACACATCTCCAATCGTGCGGCTTTGAACAGGACTATGATCCATCAGATCCCAAAGCCTTTCCTATAGATCTTGCCAATTTCTCCAAGTGGAATCCACCCCGGGCCTTGCCACCACGTCCCTCTTCATTCAAGATCCAAGGCCGAGTTGAGCTTCAAGCTGTTCGACTAAGCGAAGTGGCGAGCCCAGCTAATACTGCCGGGAAGACGTATCGCGCAAGACTGGAGTTCTCCAGCCATGGTGATGAGGTATCATTCACCGTCCGGTTCAATCCATTGTTTGTGCATGTGCCCAATTGTGAGGGCACGACGCATCCGATCCACGATCGACTCACACATAAGCTATTTGAGAGGCTCGTCTATGCCAGGCAGTTGAACAATGGAGCTATAATCCCGACCGGACCGGGACTGATCATCATCAACGCAATGGAACCGGGCGAGGAAGCCATGGCGCGGGCATGGTGTGCCGAGGTTGGGAAGAATGCAGTTGTCAGGAAGGGAGGTCAGGGCTGCTTCACGTGTGCGGTTAACTTGGCGATGTCTCGAACGGGACTGAACTTCAACACACTTATTTGGTGTTCATAACCCAGCACTTTACAATATTGCTTTCAAGATAAACTCTCAGGAATTAAAACTTGACCATATTTGAAGATGCTTCCTGCTGTATAGCCCTGTAAGTGTGTGCAATACAGCACTTATTGTATTCGACTAGTCCCATCAGCACTCCGTACATTTTCTGGCTCTCCTCGTAAGAGGGAGGAGTTGAAGGGCAGAGATGATAGGTAGCTCGCACAGCCAGCATATCCTCGGTTATTAGCAAGAAGGCTCGCACGCACAATTAATTCGCGGGGGAATGCCCCCCAAGCTGTTTGAAAGAGCAGCTCTATCATGTCCAAACGACCGTGTTCCGCTGCCCCTTCAAGAGCTGTGCGCCCATTCATAGGGGCCGGCGGCTCATTCGGAACGGCCCCTCGGGCTAGAAGGAATTGGGCAATCTTGATGCTTCCGCTGATCGCAGCAATCTGCAAAGCAGTCCCTCCACCATTTTCAGCCGGTGCTGCCTCTATGTCTGCCCCATGTTCTATGAGTAGTGCAACTATCTTGAACCTTCCAACAACGCAGGCGTATTGAAGAGGAGTATATCTCACACCCCTTCGCGCGGGTTGATTTATGTCTGCACCACGTTCCAAGAGAAAGCGAACCATTCCCTCGTTCTTGGTCCCGATCGCAACTAACAATGCAGTGGATAGCGTTGGCAGTATTTTTGGATAGACATTCTCTAAATGAGAAAGGCCATATGAACAAGTCTCGGTACCGAGAAAATCGGCATCCACACGGCGTGAGGGCCTTTGCACAATGCTGTTCACACCAATCCCGTGGCCCAGAAGTATATCAACAGCCCCGAAGTCACTGCCGTTTTTATGGGAGATAGCGACACCTAAGGCCGTACGATCCATGTCACGATGAGTGGTGAAGGTCTTTGCTGCCTCGAGATTTCCTTGGAGAATAGACTCGATGAGCCCGTGCGCATCAGTTTCTATAGCACTGATCAGGGCTATCCCCCCCAAATATTCATCGTGCCTCGAATATGATTCCACAAATGATTTAAGTAGAATATTGAAAGCACGGAGATTGTTGTCCTTGGACCAGAGGAGGGCACTGCCATCACCTGGGCTAGCTCCGTGGTCGAGCAGTAAGCGAATCATGCGCTCGTCGTCCTTTTTACACGCACTTAAAAGCGCCATATCACCCAGCGGAGTGCCATATTCGAGAAGTAATTGGACCAAATGCATACTGCCGAGCTCTACAGCTAGTGCCAGTGGTTCACCACCAACACAACAACCCATTCGCACGAGGTCTTTGATCATCGACGTGTCTCCCCAACGTACTGCAGCCTCAAGAATAGGAGCCCTGGACGAGAACGAGAAGGGAGGCGTAGCTACCTCCAACATTTTATTGACAATGACTCTGTTCTGTCGTTTCAAAGCTTCGAGCAGTGGGTTGTTAGTATCCGAATTTGGGTCGACCTCGGATCCAGCATTAATGAGCGTAACGGCAAGTTTGGTATGGTTCTTCTTTATCGCCACCACTAATGAGCTTGTTAAGTTGTTCCCTCGCTTCTCTGTTTGCACTTCTAAAAGTTTTTGCAAGTAATGGCCATCGCCTGCTTCGGCTGCAGCATATATGGCTGCGACAAAGTGCAGACGATCCTTGAGGCTGCGCAGAGCTCCCAGGTTTTCTAGTTCGAGGACAAGCTTTTTATCTCGCGATCTAATTGCCTCTGCTAATGGCGTTGTCGGGATAACGCCATCGTCATCCGGCCGAAAACGGTCGAGGCTTTCGTTCAACTGTCGTGCCGGTTCGTTCACACTGGAACCGCGAAACATGAGATCAATCATCGAACGATCGCCATTTCTGACCGCGGCGGATAGTGCTGAAAAGTCTTTTGGAACATGGTCCAAAAGGAAATGCACTAACCCGTGATTCCCTCTAACTGTCGCGTGAAATATGATATCTTCCAACATGCTCTGGGCACCTTTGGGGCATTTCTGACATGCGGAAGCCCCGCATATGTCGAAGATCCTGGCGATGATCTCGGAGGCAACGTGGTTTTTGAACTTAACAACGTCAAAAAATATACCAGAACCTGAGGGAGGCGGATCATTTATCCTGCCATCTTCATAGCCGAAAAGGGCATGATGTTCTGAGTGTTCAGCGAGGTAGAGCAAGCGGCTTGTCAGTTCTGCTTCCCCCCAGCGTGCAGCAGCCAGAACGTGCTTCGATCGCACATGTGCACCATTTTGAACAAATAGCTCAATAAGTGCAGTATTCAGAGTTTCAAAGTTTTCATTTTGTCGAAGGGCGATATCCAACACTCCACATTCTTCGCCTTCGTCTCTAAGGTCTCCAAAGGACTTTTCCAGGCTAACACCCCTGTCAAGAAGTACTCGTACGATACCGACATGACGAAACTTGGCTGCGAACATAATTGGTGTGTATATTCTATCCTCGTCGAAAGCCTTGCAAGCAATGGAGGCTTGGTCGATCCCGTATTGCAGGGTTCCCGGCAAGTTGTCAGCAAGGTGGAAGATGGTCATAACCGCATCCTCGTCAAGAGCCTCGACAGCAGCCCGGAATAGGTTATCTATGAGAGATCGCGCGAAAGCGGGTGATTGCGAATGAATATATAGAAAAAGTCGTTCTCGTATGCTGGGCTCGCTTTTCAATGTCCTTATGAGGGACCCGGCGGGTAGGCCTTCAAGACCAGCGAAACCATTGACGATGGAGAAAAAAAGGACGTTATACAAGGGTGATACAGCCACATCGTTCTCATCGTTTGAGCCAACTAATATTTTATCGCTAGTCCACGCGGATTTATCCGGTAACAGTGATGATAAGGACTCCCACAGGTCATCAGAGTCTACGAACCCAGTGCCTGGTGCTGGATTCACCGACAGCTGTTGATCCACTGAGCGCATAAGAGAGTTCAGAAGATCCCTCTCTAATAATTGAAGATGAGAAAGGTTCTCATTTATAGCAGGGTTTGCGAGCGTGTGAACTGAATTTGGCTCTTCTCTTAGCTGTGATAAGTCGATATCCCCTAATAGAGGAGCCGTCGTTTCATCTAGTGTACCCGCATAACCAGCCAAAGGCTTGCTTAATTAAGAAACGTACATGATATAGATATCAGGGATCTACTTACAAGGTCCGTAGGAGGCAGCTGCCCGTCTAAAAGCACTGGGTGGCCTTTGGAACGCGACGTGGCCATATCTGACGATGAGATGGTGGTTTGCACGGGAAGAGGCTCCCGCGATAAATCCCCGGCTGGGTTATTTGACCTATCTGAGGGATTTTTAAAGATGGGCTCTTCGGCATTGACGTTGGTATGGTTACCCGGTCGTGACGGTGCGCGAGGATCTACAACATAAGAATCTCGGCCGAAGGTCTTCCATTTTCCGTCGCACCAAATTTCAACTGTAAGGCGGTTTGAGCCGAACAGGACAGCTTCTGCTAGCAATGGTGAGCTACTTTCTGAGAATCATTAGATACGGAAGTTAAATACCACTAGAGGAATCGATAGCTCGCGAATTCGTTCCTTGGGCACGTTTTCTAGACTTCGCGATTCTAGCTGGGTCAAGAAGCTGACCCAAGAACTTAACACGGTATTTGGTGTTTTCTTCATCGAGCCTTCGGAGCACGGCACCTGTCGCTTTCCATTCCTCGATCTTGACATTCTTTGCCTTATTATGCTTCCTGAGATACAGTTCATACTGAGAAAGGCTACCCGCATGTGAATCAGTCAGCTCATGTCAGTCGATGTGCAACGGCAGTAATTTCGCCCTCACCTGGCATCAAATCCATGTTCATAGCGCATTCTGGACGCCAATTCACGAAGACTGAGGCCTTGGTCGATATACATATCATCAATTGCGTGTTCATGAGTCTTCCACACTTCCTTCGATATCATCGGGGTTCTTTCCGGAGGCATTATAGCAATTGTCGAAGGGAAATAGTTTTGTGTTTTAAGCCGTCTTCCTCTTTCTTAACTGTAGGTCAATGCATAGAGTTGGGACTGGCATTTATATGTCGTGGGGTACGAATTATTATTGAAGAACTGAGCGTGCTCCCAGCGGAGAGGGATGGGGTGAGAAAATATATATCATGGGTGGTAAGCAGCAGGATTTGGACAGCCGGTTTTGGACAGCAGGTTTTCATCAGCAGGTTTTCATCAGCAGGTTTTAGTCAGCTGGATCCAGTCCCAGTACGAACGAAAGGACCATCCAACCAGGAGGCAGTCCAAGCCCACCCAGACTCAGGCGAGCTGCTTTCTCACAGTTATACCTTAGGCAATTTCCTAACACTGAAAAGCTGGGCTATTGCGGTACTTGCGGACAGAGGTTCCTAGACCGTGCTCAGTCTAGACAGAAAATATAATTCCCGCCACTTGCATGAGGCCGAGGCCACCCTTAGCATCCCGCGAGATTCAATCTACTACCAGCCTCGAAACCTAGCCTCTGGCAAAGTATTTATCTAACCTCGCATAGCAAGTTCTTAGACATCTTACACCACTTTACTGAATTGAAATGCATCTATTCCTCGCTACGCTTCCTTTTTTGTAGTATTAGAGCACCTCTAAGTCTCAACCTTTGGAATCAAGCGAGGCGCGCCCAGCTCCATCGAGATTTGAGCACATAAAATTAACCGGTACCTTATACCTAGGTCATCCGCTGAAAGTTCCCCGTGATAGAAATATCCCCGTGCCGAGGTCTACGGGGCGAGAACCAGCTGGTCAAAAAAAGGCAGTTCCATTTGATGATGTTCTCATCTCGGATCCCCCTTCTCGCATTCTACTCCGAACCATGAGATCATTGTAACCCCCCTTTGACTCCCAAAATAATCCGAAAGTTTCCCTCTCGAGTGGTCTTCGATCATTTTAAAAAGTCAATTTTTCGTACTCAAGCCTGATTTGGTACTGCACATCATCAATCTTGCTTTCCAAATCCAGCTGGTCAGCGCGGCGTCTCGCAGTTTCGCTGTTGTAGTTGCTCAAGAGACGCATTCCTTCCGGGGAATTCTTATATTCTTCCCTCTCTCTACCCCAGATCCTCCAGAACTCGGCATCGTTGCTTGACTGCCTTGCGTTCATGAGTGAAAGCCGGGTTCTAAGACCAGCGAGAACATCCTCCAGCTGCCGGATCTGGGCTCGGATCCAAATGTTTCTTTCCATGGTGGCCACTCTGAGGCAAAGCTTGTTGCAGAATTGGATTTTTCGAAAGAGTACGACGAAAGTTGAGCTCGCTGCATGTATGCTGAAAGCTGGGCTTGTATTCCCTGGCTGATACTTTGGAAAGCACTCTGGGCTAGGAGGGAAGAAAGAAATGTTAAGACATATATATATGGTAGGGTATGTAGTGATTCACTAATAGCGGTTAGGACCACAAGCATAGTACCGAGGTGACAACTGCGGTGATGCACATCAAAGGTATTGTTGCCAAACATGCCCATTGTCTCATTGTGAATAACCTTTCAATTAATATAACCTAAAAAGAGAATTAAGCACAGCTTACCCATTGAGACTTGAACAACAATGGAATCCAATCACTGACACCTTTATTTGCGATTAATATAGAGTAGGGCGAATGGAACCACTAATAGGCATTTAGAAGATGTTTGTTTCCAAGGTCCTAGCGTATGGTCTGAGATGAAAACCTGATTCAATGTGTGGCAGTTGGTTACAAAAATTATTATGTATAGAATAATTGCGAATATACATCCTTATCAGATGGAATGAGAATAATGATCGAAAAAAAGAAACCACTCATTCATCAGTATCATCTCTGGCAATATCATCAAATCAACGATGCCTGCAATGAATACGATGATGAGCTTGAGAGTTTTGCATATAATTCAGCTAGCCTGTGAACCCTTAAGAACAGTTTGAAAGGCGCAACCTAACTATCTAGCACCAGCGCCAATGAATGAAGATGCATCAAGCATAGAGATTGCCGGCCTGCGGCATCTCCACTTGATTATTTGAAAAGGAACAATGGCCAATACCGCCATGGCCAGAATCTGAAGTTGTTACCACACCCCATCTAAGCGGTAGCAGCTCAGATGTTCCCTCAGGGGTATGGCAGGCGGCCGATATAGCCAAGCTACAACTCCCTGCAACGGGTATTCCGGGTTTCAACGGGCGCATTCCCAGCACCACCGCTCCCGAAAATATGATGAAAATAATCAAACATGTGGCTGCTATTGCCACTGGTGAGTATCCTCCTGTTATATATGGAATCTTCCACTCTGATGTGTCTAGAGTCTTGAATTCTTTGTATTGATAGGTATACCACTCATTGATTTGTGAGAGGAAAATGCTTTGCGAAATCAACCAGTGCATGAGCACTGAGAGAACTAGCATTGGAATTCCGTATTGATATGGAAGTTGAAGGAAGAAGCTGGACCTTTGTGTACCTTTCGGAAACGATACTCGAAGAGGCTGATGGTTCTTGTGACTGAAGCTGGACCACTCCCCGCCGGCGGCCATGGTGGTGAGCAGCCCATTGAGAATAATATAGAGGATAGATAATAGCACCTGTGGAAGATTCACTACCAAAACAGTAGCAATAACGGCCATATCGCCCGATGTGGGGATTTTCCATTGGATCAGATTGTAGGGCGTGATACTACCCAAACCCAATGACCACAAGAAGTTGAATCCGCCGCGTTGGTATCGAGTATTAAGCATATAGATCCCATAACCTAGCAAGGTCAATATTGCAGCAAGCGCAATAAACGTTCTTCAATCTAATAGTGAGCTTGATGCATACAGGGGGGTAGGGAAAAGCACCCACAGAAGGCTAGCAACAATCCACCTCCTTTTACTGACTCCGGAACCCCATTTTCGCTTTTCTGGCTGATACATAGTTGTAGATATGACTTCATCGTCTTTGTGGTTGATTATCTCTTTGTTAGATAGCAAGCACATCCCCTTCGTCCGGGGATCAGGGACTGCGATGAATGATGCCGCCGCGTCCCCCAGTGTTACCAGGGGTTTGTGATTTATCCAATTACTTGACGCCATGATCAAGATGAGGACGAGCTTGACGATGTTGAAGCCAATAACAACGTATAGTAAACTAATTGCCACATTCATCTGACATTCATTTGGCAGTTTCTCGCTGAGACAGTAATGGACTTTTGTTCCAATGATCCAGGGATCTGCTCCCAGTTGCTTCTTCCAGGCTCCGTCACTGCACAACTCCGCAGGGGGCGGGTCAGCGGAGTTTTTTTCATCGACGTAGTAATATCTTTGAGAGCAAATCCAACTAAACCAGTTGGTGACGCGCGGAGAGATCTCTGGTGTCATTCCGGCCTCATAGTTAACCATACTATACAGACTTGTGGCTGAGGTGTTTCCGCACTCCTCAAAGGGTGCGTAGGATATCTTTGGGAAAGTGGTGCAGCTGTCTGGTCGGTCGATGATCAGAACTACGTCTCCCCGATCTTGGACGAGGGTTTTTGCGTAGGCGTTAATACACTCGTCATTTGATAGCTTTTCAAACTCCCCTTGCATCAGCCTCTGTTGCAGTCTCTTCGTGTTAGCAAGCATAATGTCTGGTGGTATGTATCGGTCCCTGATGACTGAACCATTGAAAGGAGCGCCCTTAGCAAAGGACTCATCGGCGAACCAGACACGATATAGATGATTGTTTGAAGACACGAAGAACGTAGAATTGTATCTATCCCCAACAGTCAGTCTAGCGGACAATATGGCTGCTAAGCAACTTACACCAAGTGGAGAGGTATGGAGGTTAGCGCAAGAGAGAGGCAGACAAACAGCCTACGCTTTCTCACGAACCGGATATTTCGCAAGCTAGGTACACCAATATCCATCCATGAGCCTCGCTTATGTGCTTTGTCAACATCCTCGCGGGTAGGCGCGCTCAGAGTTTGCATGCAGTAGTTGCTGGCGCCAAGGAGGAGCGTGCTGACGATATTGATGACAAGATGGATCCCAATCCCGATTCTGTTGATGCTGGCGCAATCTCCCGAGAGCACCGGTCCAATATTAGTCGAGCCTGTTTTCGAGATAATCTTGGCACGACAGATGATAGCCACAACAACATTGATGATTAAAATGATTGATGTCAGAAATGCTGCCGCGGAGGTGCCAAATTTCCAGCCTGTCGGTATCCATTTTCGACCCTTCTTGCCAATATCCTCTGAGTTGGGGATGAATGGCACGGCCGGGTCGATTCCCAGCTGATCTTCTGCTTTTGCATATTTCGTCTCGTGCGTTGTATCGAACATGTTAGCCTTCTTATCCCGGCGGCTAAACGCCATTACGGAAAGCTTCTGTGATGATGCTTCAGAACAGTCAAAAGTTGGTAGAGTTTTCCATGAATTTGCTGGGAAATACAACATCCACGCACTTGAGCCATTATGTATGCTGCGGCTTCCTGGCTTCATTATTGGTGCAGATCTGCATTGCCTCGCACGAAAACAATGGTTGTTCAGCTGGGGGCGCGCTATTGCCTTGCTAGGCTCAAACAAGGCGGTTTTCATCGTCCAGCCCCGGATCCCCTGTCCTTGATGAAGACTCGTGAGCCCATTTACGGAGAGCTAGAGGGCACTTAGATTTAGCTTACCGAGCTCGATGTCCTGTAAGAATGATCAAGAAGTCAAACCAGTTCGATGACAGTGATAAGCTCAGCCGCATTTCTCACTTGATGAATTCACGCGCGAAATAGCGAAGCAAGAGAGGGTTTGGTCATTTCGACGCTGAGCGGACGAGCGGAGGTCCAGAATCATCTCGAACCCTTCAACTATCTCGTATTGGTTTTCTCTGTCGGTCTAGATCTGACTAGGCCAAGAACCCCTGCTCCTTCGCTCGCGATACCTCTAGCTGCCCAACCATCGTTAGTGCACTTCTCCTGATTAGCTATCTCCGACTTTCCATTCCTGCATGCCTATCTCCGATTACTTGCCCCCAAGCACAATGACTCTTAACCTACCTGTACCATGAAATCTATTCTCAGAACCCATCAAGAACGGTATATCAATCCTAACGTTCTCCATTCGAACTAAAGAGTCGTGCTTAAAGAAGCCGAGCGCTTTCGTTCGAGCCTTCAGAGTGTAAGATTGAATCTTATCGTGTTTTGCTAAAATGCGGGGAGTGGCTATGTCTTCCCCAATCTCCTGGCAATAGGCTGGGAATGGCGTTCTGGTGCGCCATGTTTTCAATGTTATTTCAGCCACTTACTCGCACCGTAAAAGATTATTTAAATTCGAGATCTACCTTGGGTGGTGATAGATTTGGTTATTAATTCAACAGAACCAATACCACGATATGAACCGTGGTGTATAAATGAGGCCCCCCTGAAAAAGGGCATGGCTCAATAGTTGTAAGAACAAAGAGTTTCTATGACATGTCTACTTTGTTCAATTTCTCAGTCTCCAATGGCACTAATTTCGAAGGAAATGAGAACGGAAGTCTTAAACTTCAGAGAAAACAAATGTCTTTTATGCACCCAAATGAGACTTTTCACTTTGGAAGCCTTCAGCTCACGGGCCTATGTTTGGCTCTTTGAATACATGGGCGCCACTTCCTTGTCGACCATGATTGGGCATGCCTCCGACAGCTTTGAATCAGTGTGGCCCGTTTTCAGGAGCACAGAAGCCACTTTCACAGGCACCGACTGAACATCATGGACTTCAAGTTCATCCCCGTCGGATACATCAACCACCGGCCAGCCCACAACAGCCAACCCATCCGCGGCCGAAACATCCGACTCAAACTCCAACGAGGGTAACAGCACTAGCTGCAGCCACGATTCTTCTTGGGTTGCCGGGCCTATTGGTGGAAGCGTTGGTGCCGTCGATACTCTCCTTATATAGATTGTTCTGTCATTGCGGAAGAGAAGTTCACATCTCTCCATAACAAGTCCGGGGCTAAGTAAGGCACTTGCAGCAGCCAATATAATATGGCTGTTCACTAAACGTCTGTAGTCTGCGCCAGTCTGACTTTCTTGGTGCTCGTGGCGCATGGTACTATTAGCCCGACACCGGAACATTGTGATTTCGTTTACTTGTAGTATGATTTGAAAATGCTTTGACTGCATCGAGAGAAAAATTAATGAAACTGCTGTATATCGTCATGGTCATGGGATCAAGGTGCCTCGGGCTAGTGAGCGTTATTTGGCTCTCTGGCCTGAGTGGCACACCGGTGGCAAGAATATCGTCGGAAGGATCACATAGCTCAGGGTATTTCCCGAAAAACATGGGATCGATTTTGTACTCTTGCGCCCCGCAGTCCATCCGGAGATATTCGAACGCCAACTGTGCATACTTGGGCGACGAAAAGAGCATCCTCAAGTTAGGGGCAGGGAGTTGTACGCTGTCGATGTCTAGTCTCTCTTCTTGAGTCTGGTCAGGGGACATGCTTGCAATCAAGTCTGTGACTCGAACGTAGACTTTGATGGGAGACGTGTCCATTATCAGCTCCGACATGGTAGACTCAACCACATATGCGCTCACCGCATCGCAGAATATCTGGTCGATGCACGGATTCGCGGCGTGGAGTTGAATAACCCGGTCTCGGATTGACGCAAAGGGAATCCAGTCTACGACGCAGGGATATTGACCTTGCAGTGCGAGCTGCGACATGGTTGGCTTATACCGCTCGCTCAGCCTGGAAAAAGTCACGGGCGAGGGGAAGATTTGGAAGGCAGTGAGCTCGACGATATGGAAGAAGCGCGTCTTCGCGTACCAGTTCATAACATCTGGGCGAGTGATGCTGTTGAACATGGCTAAAACACTGGATACCGATTGGTACAATCTAACGAAGGAAGTTAGAAACAACAGAGTCAGGCCTGTTTCACGTACATCGGGATAACTCACGTTTGACAAAAGGTTCTATCCATACGATGTGGTTGCTTCAGTTTTGTTTTCAATAGCTCCTTGAGGAGTTGAATGTGATCCGAGAACGGCGAGTTAGACTCGACGCAGTTCAAACCAACCAGAGCACTAGACGGCGATGGTAAGCTTAATTCTAGAGCATTCGCATACGCTTGTGGTCCCATCTGGTGGCTAAGCCCCCAGAATTCAGGCATTCGTGGGAGTGGGAGAGAGTCAAGTTGAATTGGGCCAAGAGACTCGGCAAACCCATCAAGCCCTGCTTCCACATTGTAGCTAGCAAAAGAAGGTGAGAATCTCCCCGAATTGCTTCCACGAAGGAGGAGCGAGAAATTGCTGCTAGCGTTTTGTTGATTGTTATTTGGAGTGGCAGGCGTCCCCAAAATGTCCTGAGAAGTGCTGGCTATATTGCTCGGGGCCTGTTCACTTTGATTTTTTGTTCGAACTTGCTCAATCTCCAACTCTTCATTGCTGGGAGGGTCAGTGGCATCGAGAAGAAGAGTCGATGACTTGGACATGAGTTGGATTGTCACTTGTATGCTTTCGAGCTGCGATTGAAGCTGGGTGATATGTGCTCGCAATCGCCTGTTTTCCTGCTCGAGAACCACAACCCTATCACCATCCGGTTGGTCTGAGGCATTTGCGCGACTCTCAAGCTCCCTCAGGTGTTCTGCTCGCCTCCGGCGAAAAGCTCTTTGTGAGAGGCGATTGCGGATTTTCCTAAGTTATCAGGTTAGATCGACGGAGAGGCGAAGGCAAGGTAGAAGATTCCGCAAGGGATCGCAACTCACTTTCTTTCATCCCTATCCACGTCGGACTCTGTTTGTGTCGTGGAACCGCGCTTTGTTGGTTTTGCCATGTTGCCGCCTGAGACTGGGTCGGCGCGCAACGAAGGTGTTGAATCTCATGTACTAGACTACATCAAGTCAACCCCAGGGATACCTTGGGCGGTCAGGGCGAGATGAGTAGGAAAGACAAGATGAGCCGGTTGATGGATCCTTGTGCAAGATCGATCTCCACGATGGGGCTCACAACCCCGTTTGCAGGAGACAAGCGCACTCCGCCCCAACAGAGTTTAGTTCCACCCGACATCGGCATCGTGAACAGGCTAAACTTTGTCAATCCATTGCTTGAGTAATTACCTTCCCTATTTGCTCTAATTAAGGCACATTTCACGATTCGATTTGAGGTAGTCCATGTCCTCCTTGTGAAGGAGGTAATCAAGCTGTCGAAATCATGGAGGGAATGCCATCATCCGCTTTCTCCGAAGAGTCGATTTACGCGTTCGGGCTTCCGAGATATCGCTCATTGGCACTAATTCGCATCTTACCTTCGCCGTGTATACTAATAGGGGAACGTCGTTTGGGATATATTGGATTATACCCGCCTAGTCAACTCGCTTCTGCCGGTACTTAAAATATTCAAGATTGCAATGGGCAATGCAGGGCTGAGGCAAAGGCGGCTTCTTGCTTCCCCGCTACGATCCAGCCATTTGGCCCTTGTCCAAGGAATCGAACCATGAGCTCGGATGCTTCATGGGCCCCCAGCGTCGGCCGACCCTAGAACGGAAGCATGCGCCGACAATTTTAAATTGTCGGCGAGCATCCTGAACGCAGCTCTCAAAACACCGAGCATCCGGCAGAGGTTCGTCTCTGCCACTAACCTGGCTGTGGTACTCTCAATCCTCAATGTGCACAGGAACGCCTTTAAACTACGCCCAGATGTTCAGCCATGCTAAAGCCACGTATCCCAAGGCTGTGAAGGTGCGCATTTTTTAAGGTAAACATGCCTACATTCCCGCTGTTTTATGATTCAACGCTGCCAAGAAGGCGCTGCGGCAAACTTCAAGAGTTCCGAGAGCATAGTGGTGGATGGGCAGTCTCGAGAAACTGGGCAAGGAGAAACCATGATAATACCAAGGTCTATATTTGACATAGTTAGCCTACAGCTTCATGAGGCAATGATACGATGGGCATGGTCCCAATTCGGGATTTTGGCAGATTTGCCGGTGTGGTACTAAGGAATCAACAAAAGGCCATCCTTCGAGTGCTACTCCGTGGTCAGTCATCTCTGTCCTTGGCCACGCGAAGCCCAGCTGAGAGTCATTCCCATCCTTTATTCTCCCTTGTTCACCCAGTCAATTTCCCATCCCACGTGCCATAATGATAAGGGCGATAGGTTGAATGAGCCCAAGTGTAATGATAGGAGAATTGATGGATTTTCATTGCCTGGCTTTTACTCTATCAACTCGAAGCGCGTCAAACACTATTCCCAAAACGACTTTTGCCGAAGATAGCGACAAGCTTGCGTCATGTCGGACTAGCAAGTGAAAGAAGCATGGATATATATTAAATCCCCACAAGAAGCAATAATTCTATAGTAATGCTATTTTAAATAGTTTCAGCCATAGTGTGTGTACAAAAATAATCTATAAATATCCCAAACAGTTTATATATAAAAAGCATCGTTAGTTACCATTCATGAACCAGATTTTGGGAATAACAGTATCAAAACTTGACCACCACTCACTATCAATACATTTCCTTGCATTTCCTTGCATTTCCTTGCATTTCCAAGTTTTATTTCTTTTCATTCACATAGGTATCACTGGCTGGTACTTTTAACTATTCTTCCAAAATGGTCTCTATGAAACACATCCCTCTCGTCTCGGCCATCGTTCTTGGTCTCGCAAGGCATGTCACCGCTGATTTCATCGAGGACAGTGGCCTTGACGCACGAAGCGAGGACTTCCTCAACGATGGTCTTCTTCTAGAAGCTCGTGACGATCTTGATGAAAGAGATTTCCTACAAGAACTAGAGGTGCGAGCTAAGCCTCGTCCTAATATTCCTCGCCCTCCACCAAACCGACCTACTGGCGTTGGTTATACAACTGGAGGCCGAGGCCGACGAGATCTTGATGAGAGAGATATTATAGAGGGACTGGAGGTGCGAGCTAAGCCTCGTCCTAATGTTCCTCGCCCCCCACCAAACCGACCTACCGGTGTTGGCTACACAACTGGAGGCCGGGGAGGCCGAGGCAGAAGATCTCTTGATGAGAGAGCCAAGCCTCGTCCTAATGTTCCTCGCCCCCCACCAAACCGGCCTACTGGTGTTGGTTATACAACTGGAGGCCGGGGAGGTCGAGGTCGAAGAGATCTTGATGTCCGAGCCAAACCTCGTCCTAATGTTCCTCGCCCTCCGCCAAACCGACCCACCGGTGTTGGTTATACAACTGGAGGCCGTGGAGGCCGAGGCCGAAGATCTCTCGAGGAGAGAGCCAAGCCTCGTCCTAATGTTCCCCGCCCTCCACCAAACCGACCTACCGGCGTTGGTTACACAACCGGGGGCCGGGGGGGTCGCGGCCGAAGAGATCTAGCAGAGGTGGAAGACTACGAGTAAGAAGATGGCAGACTAGGTTCTCGGAAGCATAGACCGCTAGCCTGGCTTGTTCGAAACCAACTCCAAATTGGTATGGGATATCCGACTTCATCTCAAGTGGAGGAGTAAGCCATTAGACGGTCACAAGTACCAGGCGAAGCCCCTGTATTCATTGTGTTTAGCATAGAAACTTTCTCTTCATAAATTAGAAATATACCTTTCTGTTTTGATTTTGTCTACAAGTATTGAAATAACGGCGAGAATAAGAGGCTTTAAGGATTAGTCTGAGGGAATTGCCGCTTTTCTCTGATTGAATCGCAAGGATCACGACTCTCCTCCCTTGCCGAATTTCTTTTCGACAAATTCCAACCGGCGATTGAAATTCTCGTAAGAACTAAAGTACATAATAATCTCAGGAGCGTACTGTTCGTCGCTCAGATAGTGCAGGTAGGCGAATCTTTCCGGACTCTTGCCTCCTTTGGACATCCAGTCTGACCAGTACATCAGGGCTCCATTACTCCCATCCTCCGTGTTCACTTTCTTTTTGCTTCCTTTCTCCTTTTGCTCCTTCGTTTCCTTCTCCACGGTATCCTTCTCCGCGTCTTCGTCACTGCTCTCCGCGTCGCTGTAGCCGTTCTCGGCCGAGAATACTGTTGGGAGTTTATCGCCGTACAGTTCCCGGGTAACCGCTTTGATGAGGTCCTCCTTGGTCACGCCATCTTCGCTGCGCAAGTGAATGCTCTTCTCGGTGTCCGGCAGGGTGCAAGGGCAGCACATTGCGTCGGGCTCATTGAAGAACCTCACTGTGAACTGCTTCATTGCGGGTTCTGTAAGGTACTGGGGGATGCTGGCGTCCTCGAGGACCATCTGTTCGATCTTGGAGAAGATACCCCTCCAGTATGTTTGGAAGGGTCCAGGAGACTTTGAGTCGAAGGCCGGACTTGAATAGTATGCTTGTTTAGTCTCTAGCCTGATTAGTTTGATGATGCCCGACCATTTCTCGATGATGTCGTCGTCATAACTATAATAGTCGTCGCCCTCATCCTGTTCCTCCTCCTTCTCGAGGTCTGGCTTGGCTTCAGTGGTGGGATCTGCGCTCATAGTGAAGGTTGACAGTAGGATGCAAGGGAAGGAAAATGGAACAAACACTGCGCAGCACTTTGCCCAATAAATAATCCTTTTGCATAGGTAGAGTGTTGGCGGGCCACAGGTCTGACAGTGGTAGTGAGACAGGAGTCATGTTTAGTGCTTACTCTCGCCGAAGCAGTCATCATCTCTCACTGGCCATGGGTCTCCTCAGGCAGACTCGGTGCAAGGCCAGCATTTTAAGTATCGTATAGTTACCTATCGAATTATATCATGAACTCAAGGACCATATCGTCCATCCCTCGAGGAGTGGGCAGCATATGGGTTTTGGACTTTAGGCAGTATTGTTTACCTTAAAAATGGACCACTGACGAATAGCACCTGGTGTCGAATATGTATATGCAACCCCTCATCCTGGCCTGGTAGGGTGTCTTCACCAGTAGATTTGATTACACTGCAAGGCAAAATGGCTGTCTATTTGATTCAATTGATGGTAGTATTTTCCATAAGTTTCATTTCGTTACTACGAAGATTTTGTGTTTATAGTTTGCATATTTTCTACTTATTACTTCACTCAGGCAATTAATCTCTTGTGGAGTTGGTGTCTAACAGGCTAAAGAGCCGGATAAAGCTGCATCCAATGTTGGAGCAGATGTCCCCCAAAGACTCCATCTACTCTGGAGACTCCTCACCCCACGCGGTTCGGATTGCCATTTGTGTATGAATCGTTCGTCGTGGGTGCGTATATTAGAGGGATGGCCCCGAAGTCGTTCCAATGCTCTGCCCTTCTGGGAGTAAAACAATTTCTTCCGACTGCTAGGGGAGCGGATTGAATAGTCTACTGCATCCGAGCGAATAGTTGACAGCTCAATCCTTCCTATTGCTCTTCCCTTTGATCTTTGTGCTTTGATTTATATTCACAATGCCTCCAGTCCGCAATCCAATCCTCCCGGGCTTCAACCCGGACCCGTCCATCGTCCGGGTCGGAGAGGACTACTACATCGCCACATCGACGTTCGAATGGTTCCCCGGCGTGCAAATCCACCACTCGCGCGACCTGGCCAACTGGACGCTCGTCACGCGGCCGCTCACGCGCAAGTCGCAGCTGGACATGCGCGGCGACCCGGACAGCTGCGGCGTCTGGGCGCCGTGCCTCACCCACGACGGCGAGCGCTTCTGGCTTGTCTACACCGACGTCAAGCGCAAGGACGGGTCCTTCAAGGACACGCACAACTACATCGTCCACGCCCCGGCCATCGAGGGCCCCTGGTCCGACCCCGTCTACGCCAACTCGTCCGGGTTCGACCCCTCCCTCTTTCACGACGACGACGGCCGCAAGTGGTTCGTCAACATGCTCTGGGACCACCGCGCCCGGCCCCTCCTCTTCGCGGGAATCGTCCTCCAGGAGTTCGACCCCAAGCAGGGCAGGCTCGTCGGCCCCCGCAGGAATGTCTTCCAGGGCACCGACCTCAAGCTCGTCGAGGGCCCGCACCTGTACAAGCGCAACGGCTGGTACTACCTCCTCACGGCCGAGGGTGGCACCGGCTACGACCACGCCTGCACGCTCGCGCGCTCCCGCAGTCTCTGGGGGCCCTACGAGGTGCACCCACAGAAGCACATCCTCACCGCAAAGGACACGCCCTTCTCGGCCCTCCAGCGCGCGGGGCACGGCGACGTCGTCGACACCCCCGACGGCAGGACCTATCTCGTCCACCTGACGGGGCGTCCCATCAGCCAGAAGCGGCGGTGCGTATTGGGTCGCGAGACGGCCATCCAGGAGGCGCGCTGGGGCGACGACGACTGGCTCTACGTGAAAGACGGTCCCGCGCCATCCCTCGTCGTCGACCTCCCCGCCGCGCGCGACGACACCGACTACTGGTCCGAGAAGCGGTACACCTTTCAGGACGGCCTACACAAGGACCTGCAGTGGCTGCGCACGCCCGAGCCGGAGCGCATCTTCAACACCGAGGGCGGGACGCTCAACCTGATCGGGCGCGAGGCCGTCGGGTCCTGGTTCGAGCAGGCGCTCGTCGCAAGGCGGCAGACGCACTTCTCGTTCGACGCGGAGACGACGCTGGAGTTCTCGCCCGAGGACGAGAGGCAGTTCGCGGGGCTGACGGTGTACTACTCGCGGTTCAATTTCTTCTACCTGACCGTGACGGCCGGGTCGGACGGGCGGCGGGAGCTGCTGCTGATGTCGTCAGAAGTGTCATACCCGACCGGCGCGCTGGAGAAACCGTTCGTGCCGCCTGTTGGGATCCCGGATGGGGGCAAGGTGAGGCTGGCGGTGGAGGTGCGCGGGTGGCGGATGCAGTTCTTCTACGCTCTCGAGGGAGGGGAGTTGGCGAAGATTGGGCCCGTGTACGATGCGTCGGTTGTGTCGGATGAGTGTGGAGGGCATCCGAACCATGGGAGCTTCACGGGGTCGTTTGTGGGCGTGGCGTGCTCGGATCTGAATGGGTTGGCGATCCAGGCCAAGTTTGATTATCTGACTTACCGGCCTGCGAAGGATGCTACGGACCGGTACGAGGTTTGATGATTCATCTATTATTCACGTATCATGGTAATTGACCTGAGTAACCTGAAATGGTTTGTTTTATTCTAATTTGCGTGGCATATTAGGTGATGATGATATGATGAATGAAATCAAGTATAAGCATCACATGAATCATCTCCAGAGGCGATGAAACATCTAGAGCCGGGACTGATTGACGTGCATATGCGCAAGGGTTCCAAACGATCAAACAAATGCAACCCGACGGCGAACCCGCCATCCGTCTTGACTCCGATCCCCGTCATCCCATGGCAATCAGGGGCAACTCCGTGTTTCAAGGTAAGTGGTGGCTAAACTTGGGCGCTGCGACATGTAACAGATCTCCGACCTATAAAGGCATGTGAGATGATGGGCGCTGAGGCTCTTGAGAGGGCTGTTTGACTGGAGAAGATGCACGGTTGGTCACATTGATGGAACGGGAAGTGGTTTCACTGGATATACTCTTGATTTTGAAGGATACGCTATGTAGGTACAGTAAGAGTAGACGAGACTCTTGTCCGCATTAGAATCGAAGATGGGCGCCTTTTGGCCCATGTTTTCTCATGATACAAACACCACATCCCAAAAAACAAAGACAATCTCATCCGTTTATACGGTGATGCCAAAGGCCTGCTTGGCAAGCTTGAACGAGGCCATGCGCTCCTCGTTGTCCGGGTCAACCTCGACGCAGGCCATGTAGTCGCGGTAGCCCTGGTTGATGTCCTTGGCGAGGGTGCAGCGGACCTCGGGGCACTTCCACTTGACGAACCACGAGACGCTGCCAAAGTTGTACTCGTCGTTCTCGACGAGCAGGCTCAGCATGCGGTTCTTCTCGGCGTCGGACAGGCCCTCAGTGGTGGTGATGTTGGCGACGAGGGGTGCGATCTCCGGGATGGAGCGGGCGTACTCGAGGTTAAAGTTGGGCATCTGCATGTTGACGGTGCCCTGGCCGGGGCGGCCGGGGAAGGCGTTGCGCTTGTACTGGAAGTCGCCCGACTCGAGGGAGACGAGGCCGAGGGCGGCGGCCTTGGCGTTGTCGCTGACGAGGCCGTACTTCTTGAAGCCGGCCTCGAGGAAGGGCGCGGCCTGCTCGGCGGTGCGGCACTCGTCGGGCTTCTTAGCACCGCCGCAGCTGACCGACTTGGGAGCGAGAATCTTGAGGGCCTCGACGAGGTCGACGGAGCGCTTGTGGGGGTGGGCGGTGGTGAAGGAGGCCAGGCCGAGGACGGCGATGGCGGCAAGGCTGGAGAACTGCATGTTGATAGTGTTGATAGATTTGAGATTGTGTATTGGCGGTTCTGGTCCGGGTATATAAAGTGCGTGACTAGCAGGCAGAGTGTGAATGAAATGAATCGAATGCGAAGTGAGATGCGTCAAGCAGTCTGTTCGAGCGAGAGACGAAATGAAAGAATGAACCGGAGAATGAGTGTGTGCGGAGGAAGAGATCAGACACACGACGAGAAGGAAGACGCTGAGATTTATAAATGCTGAGATGAGAAACGCTAGAGAGGAAATGCTTGTTGGCTACCAAAGATGAGACGACAAGGACGGGGCTGCAACCACCATCTCGGGGGATTGTTTTATAGATGCACAAGCCTGCCCTCAGACATGGATTCATGCCGATCTGGGCAAGTCCTGAACCACATTGTTCGACGTCCATTTTTACCATTGGGCAGTGCCCGGCCTTGTCCCCAGCTGCGGCCAAGATCAACGGCACCATTGTCAGCAGAATGCGAGCCCTACGTGACCAAAGCGCAGCAGGAAAAAGCAAAGCAGTGCGGCACAGACAGGGGCCATCCACAAGGACCAGCTTGAATGGAGTCCAGGGGCTCTTGTTGCACCTTCGTCTGGTCCTGCAGCATGACAGGCTGCGAGCAACGGCACCATCCACGCCGCTCAGTCCGTAGCTCGATCTGCTGGCGAACCAAGTTGCCGGCTTACCGCTCTGACCTGTGCTGTGGCTGAGAGAATCTGACAGGTGAGAGAGTCTGGGGGCTGGTTGACTGCCTCCAGCCCGACCGCTGTTTTCACACAGCACCAATCATCGCCGCTCGTTGCCGCTTCGGCTGCTGCGGCTGGAACGTTGCACATCCCCACGGCTCTGTGCCGATTGTTGCTGCTTCCGCGCGGTTGCCCCTGAATGGATGAACTGAGGCCGGACCGCCCATTCGGATAACAATCACTCAGCCGCCGCGGGACCGATACTGATACTGTCCATGCCCATCGCTCAGGACTCGACTGGCACATTCTACTCAGGCAGGCCTTCAAAACGCGGGACCATTCTGCTTCCAGCAGCTCCCAGGCAGGCGACTCCGCCACGGCATGGGCACGCATGGCGATCCGAACGCGAAGGGCAGCTAGCCACTCTGTTTGAAACAGGGGGATTCATTGGGTACGACTGCCCCTGGCTGAGCGATCGGCACCCGTCCCCAGGCCAAACCAACGGCAGCGACAATCATTGCTTGCGACATTCACATGGTTGGGGACTGGATCTCAGGAGAAGAAATCGAGGAGGTCCCCATCGTTCGTGTCCTGTCGACGGCCTGGTCTCGAAACACGGCACAGAGATGGAACACGGCAAACATGAAATGCGTCGCTGTGAGCCAGCAGCGATCGCTTGGCTGGATCTAAGAATAGGCAATAGGCCTGTAATAATTCCCCTCTCTTGCTTGGCGCTGCATAGCCAATAGAGCGAACAATCATCCAAGACATACATGCCCGGTGATATCTCCCATGCGTTGGCATCATCAGGGAAAGCCACTCTTTCTCAGCACGGGCGTATGTGCTTTGCCTGTCAATCGTATCCAACAATAGGTTTGCAGGGCTGCTCTGCCTGCCTCCGCCACAGCATCAGAGTAAGACATACAGGCCATCGCGTTTGTTAGTGCTCACCGTCGACGGTCGCATGTCAGCACGGCCGCTGCCAAAAAGGGGCCTCGCGTACAGCAATTCGACAATAAGGCCCTGGCTGGAGGATTTAAATTTATTAAGCTTCAATTAGAAATAATGGGCGAATGTCTAATAAATATGAATCTTATGCCTGAGTAGAAAGGCGAAGGTCACGCGCATCATCATTCTAATGTGCTTTTCATTCATGCCCTGCTATTAATAAACTCCCTTGTGAGTAGTCAGCAAATAACATCACTGAAATCCTGTTGTCTTTGCTCTCGATTGAGCCACCCTACACCTTCAATCTACATTCGAAAGATGGAAATCATTGTCTGCGCTTCACTTGACGTACCGGCACTAACAGCCAAGAACTACATGCATTCTATTGTTTATTATTCTCACTTTTATTAATCAAATAACAAGGAAATCATTTAGTACCTCCAAACCATCATTGTGGCATTAACTACATGCTTAAGATACACTTCGCTCTCCACATTCCAAGATACTCTAGGTGCGTGAGGACACCTCCTTTTACCTCTCATTTCTCCTCATCTTCGTCGCCCATTGTACCCAGCCCACAGAATAATTCGCATCAGTACAAAAAAACCTCCAAAAAACCTGCATCCATGCACGATTGGCTTCAATCGGTGTCTTTCACATCCACTCCTCATAGGAGCCAAAGTCATCCAAATCAAGGGTCATGCTAATATCGGCATCCTTAGGGGGTTCGTCTCTAGCTAAGTCAAACCCTAGGCCGATGTCGCGATTGCCTAGGCCATATCGCTGCCGTGGTTGTTCAATGGTCGCCGTTTGGATGACGTCTTTCTGGACGTCGTTCCGGGGCACGGATTGTGAAGGTGGTGGCGGGGTTGAATGTCGGGACCTTGGCAAGTGGTGGAAGTAAAATTCACTGGCACTGTCTAGGATGGATTTGACAATAGGCCCGAAGTCTGTGTCATTTGACATTATTGTTGGGAGGTTGGTCCGGAACGCAACCAAAACGCCGGGATAGATGAGATCTTTGACCTCTTCGATTTGGTTAGGCTTGACATAAGGTGATGAAGGTGGCTGCGCCCCTGGAAAGAGCTGGTTCCAAATGGCCAGCCAGTGGCTACGGGGGTCGGAGCCCCGGAGCGACTTCAGGTTCTTTACCTCTTCAGGTGAGAGTTCCTCTGGCGGTGGCCGTGGTTGGCAATTGGCATGGCGCAGATGATGAGTCCTGGATGTCTCGTCTTTGAACGGGCTCCAGCAAATTGAGCATGAGTGGCAGGGCAGCGCATGGCGACGGATGAGATGCTGTTTCACATCCGAGATTCTCTTGAATTCGTGCTTCTTGCACTTATCATACGTGTGGGGATTGAATTTGTACAAGGGACAGGCAAATGGGTGGGTCCCATCTTCATCAGCTTCAACCCATGACTGGACAATTTCAACTTCGAAAATCGGATCAAAGTCGGGCATGCTTTGGATGTAGATATCTGATGACCGTGGTAGACGCTGGCTTGTGCTATTTTGGTTTTCTAACAGACTGGTAGAATTGAAAATGAAAGTTCCAAGTAACCGATGTGATGGTGTTTGGTGCTCAGTATCTAAAATGAAGGAGGGATAGGTGTCTGTGCTAAGCATTTTTGAAAGTGAGCGATGTCTGGCTGGGTGCTTTCAATTATATATCCCCTGTGTAGCAAAAGAGGAAAATCTAGAGAAAGGGAGAGTGCTGGTTCGCGTACCAATTCAGGTATTGGTACATTGCAGGTGGCCGACGGACTCCTCCATTCTCCCTCCCTGCCTATCTAAAACCCCAGACTTCACTATCCGTTCACTATTTGGCCACCTATCTCCACTTAACTGTGGCGTTGCCTCCAGGGTGGAGCTGGATTTGACAAAATGTGCAACCCTCCCAAGCCCATTACTTGACTTTAAGTGAGTTGGTCGCCCTTTTAAGCGACGCACCGACATAAATCAGGTTTATCATCATCATTTTATTATCATCATCACATTACCTTAATCAGGATAGAACAAGCTCCTTCCAAAAAACCGAGAGGAGCCCTGTGCATCAACATGCTTCTATCCCCATCAACCATGAAAGGGTTTCTTGAAAACTTCTAAATATTATTTTCTTCTACTTTTCGGGTATGCGTACCGAAAATTTTCCTATGCTAATACCGCACATTCAAAACTATAAACAGCGATTAATTGCCATGAGAATTCCAATTGCCCATGTTAGAGCAAGTGAGGCGATGGGAGGCTTTACTTGTCCGCCGAGAAACGAATGTGTATTATTGTAGTGCAGACGCAGATTTTCCTAACATTGATCATCTAGAAATGATACTGGTCAGCTGGTTGCGCCCTTGTGAGCGATTACGGCGGACACAATTGTGCGGCCGCCAGCTGCGCCCACATCTGAAACAGCCCGGCCGGGCTTCGCGGCGTCTTGCTGGCAAGGCCATGCAGAGGGCGAGTCAAGTGACTAGCGACACAAATCACGGTCGTCTATATTGGGATAAATCTGTCTTTGGGCCTCGCTATTCCCCTCCCACTTCCTCCGTTGTTCTGTACTCTGTGCCTTTTTGGTCCTGCTGGCGGCGTGGTCAAGAATCGCCCTACAACTTGGAGCTGCTCATCGAGAGATTTCCTCCTGGTACCATTGCAACCTGCCTTGGCTCGTATTTTTACACAGTACTCGGGCCGGGGGATCCTCGCGCCACATACTTCCCCAGGGCTACGACCACCTGGATCAGCACGTGAGGGAGCTTTCTGCCCATGACCGTGGTTGCTAGGTCGGGAACTTTACCCCGTCTTGGTGGGACTTGGGCTGTAGATGAATTGATAGATGTGCTATGACACGTCGTGCTGATAGTCAGCCCAGCCTGCTATCTGATGCGACATAACTACTCTCATACTTGATTAAACTTGCAATTGATAAATTTCAGAATGATTCGACTGCTGTTCGCACTTTCTCGTTTCTGCATAGCGTAAGATTCGCATGAAGACAGAGGAAACAGCACGCACCAGCTGGGTTTGGCCGCCAGACTCAGCCGCAGTACTCTTACCCCGCCTCCAGTAAGGCTTTCTACCAAAGACCTCGCCTCCATATGCTTCAATTATTTTACGATCACAATATCGTTGTCCTCCTATTTAGAGCGTTGGAGGCGAAATGAGCACAGTAAGTCGGCTCGGGTTTACCGAGCTTGGGGTCAAGGGACGCGACGGGCCGTTCCGCTACAAGTGAGTCCGCCAGATTCTTGTCGCTCGCTCCGTAACGGGTGCTAACGAGTGGCCTGACAGTGTCATCTTCGTTCATGGCCTCAAAGGTCACCCCAAACATACGTGGGGACGCGAGACGACTGGAGGGAATACGGCCCATCAAAGGATAGATATTGGCTTCAATAGAAAAAGGGCGTCTATCAGGTCTCTCCTCAAGAGTGGGAAGACCACCAGTACCGCTCTCTCGGAAGCTGGGGGCCAACCCAAGCCATTCTGGCCGGAAGAGTTTCTTACTCGAGATCTTCCGGATGCGCGGATATGGACCTATGGGTATAACGCAGATGTCATCCAGGGAATGTTCCGCGCGGGAAACCAAAACAGTATCTCGCAGCACGGGAGAGATTTGTCCGCCCAGTTTGAACGCGATGTCGCCAACAAAGTGCGTCGTTAGGGGGGATCATTAATTCAAAGCTTGTGTATGCATTGTATTAACAAGATGTAGGACCCGGTCGTTTTCATAGCTCACAGTCTGGGCGGCATTCTGATTAAAAGTGTAGGTGGGCAGGCAATAAATACAGAGATTCATTCCTTAATTCTGACATTCCCCAGGTTATTCATTTGTCAGAAAAATGTCGATCACGAACGAGGCTCGTTATTTTTCTCGGAACTCCTCATCGAGGCAGCAGAGTTGCAGACTGGGGGAAAATAGTATCCAACTTGTCTCGAGTTGCATTACAGCAACCAAACTCCAGGATTCTCAGAGGCCTGCAAGTAGATAGCGAGGTCCTTGAGAACATTCATGAGGAGTTCAAAGTACATGTTCACAAATGTGGATTCAAGATCTACTCATTCCAGGAGGGTCGTGCGCCGGAAACGCTGGGCATCAGTCACAAGGTGAGCAGGCCAAGCTTCTGAAGCGAGCCCGATCAACTCACTCACTGTGATTATAGATTGTCGATGACTTCTCGTCCAAGATGGACCTTCACCGTGGACTGGAGACCATCCAAAGTATGGATGCCGACCATAGACAGATTGCAAAATGCAGCAATAAGGAGGACCCCCGCTACCGTGCTATTCTCGGAGTCTTGAAACAATTCGTTAGTGAAGAAATCGATTGCCTGGCAGGGGAAGGAATCTCACACATTGAATCGAAGAGTTCTACGGCTAGTGGCAGTAAGTAAATAGATATTTGGATTACAGTGCAGAAGTACTAAGCAACTATATGCTAGAACATCCTACCGATTATACGGATGGTAACGCCAATGTACAGCCAATAGCCCAAGAGGCTGGTCCTAAGCCAACCTTAAATCCTATCTACTATCTGCCATTTACTGCAAACAGAAAGTTCACTGGTCGAGAGAGCGTGTTGCAAGCTATTCAGAAAAAGCTCTTCTCTGACCCTCCATGCCAAAGAATTGCATTAGATGGCCTAGGGGGTGTCGGTAAAACCCAGGTAGCCCTCCAGTTTGCCCATTGGATGAAGACCAACCATCCGACATACTCCGTCTTCTGGATTCCGGTACTCAGTGAAGCGAGCTTTGAGCAAGCGTATATGGAAATTGGCAAGCTGCTGTCTGTACCGCGCGAAAGCGACGAGGACTACAAGAAAACCGTCCAGCGATACCTCTCGTCAGAGACAGCGGGCAAGTGGCTGCTCATTATAGACAATGCTGATGACAAGACTATGATATTTGGGGCACTTGGGAAACCGGGATTAATAAACTTTCTGCCCCAAAGCGACCATGGCCTGTTTCTGCTCACGAGCAGAGTCAGAGAGATAGCCATCTTATTTGCAGAAACAGATGTCATTAGTATACCTGAGATGAACTCACACGAAGCAAGAGCCCTTCTGGATAAAAGTGTGATCACAAGGGAGGAAGGTCTTGACGAACACGCTGATCAGCTTTTGAAGGAGTTGAGCTATCTACCTCTGGGTATTACACAAGCTGCTGCATATCTCAATCGGAACTCAAATATCTCCCCGAGGAGATACCTGGATCTTTTACGCGGGGCAGAGATCGAGAAAGCCCAGGTCTTAAGTCGAGGGTTTCATGACCAACGGAGATATTCAGGGCTATCAAACGATATAATGTCAACCTGGCTGGTATCGTTTAGCCAGATTGCTAAAGAGGACCTGTTTGCTTTCAAGCTGCTTTCGTTTATCGCGTGCATTGAGCCACGAGCTATCCCAAAGATAATTCTGCCCTTTGGAAACTCGGAGGAAGAGATGGAAAACGCGATAGGAACCCTCTGCGGTTACTCGTTTCTAACCCAAAGGCACGATCCGAATACGTTTGACATGCACAGACTGGTTCATCTGGCAACTATTAGATGGTTAGAAGGTCAAGGTATGATGCAGGGGAATTTGACGAATGCAACTCAAGGGATTTTCGAGAACATGGCAAAGCAGTCAGCCACTGATCAATTCTTGGACCATCCAGAATGGAGACAAATATTGCCCCATGGGGTAAGACTGATAAGTCAAAGCGAACCTCTCTGCAGCCAAGATTTATGCAACTTAGCTGACTATGTTGGCATATGTTTGCTCACGGAAAGGCGGTTCAAGGAGGTCATAGACTGTCTGCACAAAACTGCAAGCTGGGCAAGGGCAAACCTTGCCTGGGATAATATGCTCTGGCGACATTTGGATTTCACGCTTGCACATGCACTGCTTCAAGAAGATCGCGTGGACGAGGCAATTGAAATCATCGAGCCAATTGTCATTACAAACAAGGAAACCACCAAAGATGACAAGGAACTCATTTGCCATTCGGAACATTTGCTCGCAAGTGCTTACCTCGAGAATAAGCGAGTGGATGAGGCCATAGAGATGTTTGAGGCCATGCACAAGAATATTGGAGAGGATACATCGGATTTCAAATTTAGTTACGATCAAATCGGGCATCAACTTGCCAGTGCCTACATTGAGGCTGGACGTGCCAAAGAGGCAATCGAGATCCTTGAACCTATTGTGGAGGAAAATCGGCGAACATCAAGACAAGAGGATCGAGATCGACTTTCCTCGGAGCATGAACTTGGTAGGGCATATCTCCGAGACGATCGAATTCATGAAGCAATTGAAATCCTCGAGCATGTGATCAATGTTCAAAAAGAGCATCAGAAGGAGGATGACCGTGCACGACTTGCCTCAGAACATGAACTCGGTCTGGCTTGTCGGAAAGCCAAGCGCTTGAAAGAGGCTATTGAGGTGTTGGAACATGCTGTTAAGTTCCGAAAAGCCGAATTGGGTGAGGAGAACCACCTCGCCCTCGTGTCGGAGCATGAGCTTGCACTTGCATATCTGGAAGATGGGCGTGTCGAAGAGTCTATCAAAATATTGAAACGCTTGGTTCGCATTAGGAAGGAGACTTTGGAGGAAAATGACGAATCACGCTTGGCTTCGGAGAGTGCCCTTCAGAGAGCATACCGGCAACGTAAACCTTTTATCGTAATTTTCACCAATCAAGTTCCTTGAGCAGCAATGTTCGTGCCAGGAGCTATGAGGATCTGTGTGAGTATGAGACTCCCAATTCTAATTAATTGTCGACTGAATATTGGTCGTTACAACTCAGTTATCTTATAATGTAACAACTTTGTTGATGAACTAAGTGCCCAATTGGCAATTTCACTAGGGACGGAGAAACTCTAATGAGAAGTTTAATAGCTAAAAGATTACGATCCAACACGACATATAAAGAATATCCCATAACATACTGCGATCTTCGACTGTTGATTCACCACAACCTTTTAATATATATGGAAAGGACTAGCGAAGGCTTCCCCTAGGCTGTTTCGCCACTTCAGTATGGAAGAGTATTCCTCAAGGACATCGAAATAATCATCTGCAAGCAATTTTGCAACACAACAACTAGATTTTTTCAGAAGAAGAGGCGAAGAGTTAATCAACATATAACAAATGTCTGCTCAAATTATATCTTGCATATAAGCTACCTAAATCAGCAGTACTAGCTTCAAGTTCTCCAGTAATATCTTAGGCCAATTACAATCTGATTTCAAGTCTGAGTTGTATCTACCCTGATGTTTCAGGATAAACAGCTTTCTTTCCTTTGAAGATTGCCTTGAAGAACAGAGCAATGTCTTGTCGACTCTCGAAGATGGGGAGGATTGTAATAACAATGGCGCCGAAGAAACCCCAGATGAACGTGACAACAATCCAACCAGTGAAGAATGATTTGCTGAAGATATATGAAGATCCATACATTGGAATGGGCCACAGGCTACTCAAGGTTAATTTCATCAAAAGCGACTGTGTGAGTAGGACACGTACATGGTCATTGAGATCGCAATGAATAGGGCTGCGCCAAGTGCGAGATTTCGTGCCTTGAGTAATGGCTTCTCGATACGCTGAAGGTTCTGCAGCTCCTCGTCCGTTCTCTCCCTGGCGGTCTTGATCTTCGCGTCCGACGACTGCAGTGCCTTCTTATCAAAGCTGCTGTCGTCCACCTGCTCTAGTTCTTTGAATTTCTCGAAATCATAGTCCTCAGGCTTGATGAATGTGATGAGCGGCGTTAGAACAATGGGAGCCGTGAGCGCCAGCATGTTTCCTGCCACTGTAGGTATGAAGTCCGACAGACTAGCAATTGACACCACTCCGTGTTGCTTGTACGCAACACCGATCCAGGTGCCAATACTGGCAATCGAGCTGATGATGGGGACCAAAACAATGGCATACTTGCTTTGCTTCTTCCAGAAAAGAGTGCATGCACTTGGGATCACGGCACCTGGCTACTGTTAGTCTTTCGAACTTTTAAGGTAGGCTTTATGATACTGACCGTCAATAATGATACCGATTGCGGTAACAATGAATGTTACTGAGAACCCAGCGTAGCAGAGGCCGACGGCAATGCCAGCAGTCAACAACCCGAAACCAGCAACAGCGATGTGAGAAACGAACACCAGCCTCTCTCCTGTCGCAGTTGGGTTGACGTAGGAGCGATAGAAGTCATAAGTTACCAAGCTAGTCACCGCAACAGTTTCGGAGCTCATTGCACTGGTGATAGCCTGGAACAGCATCAACAAGACTGCCACAACCCCACCTTTGCCCATTATAGTGTATGCAACGTAAGGCATAACAAGAGCTGAGTTGATCTCGGCCACAGATAAGGGCGTTGGGTATGTCGGCCTAGAAGAGCTTAGAAAGAAAATTCATTAAGTTTGAGAACCTCGATCTTACCATGCTGGTGTATGTTCGAGAGCAGCGCCTCCGAGGCCGAACGTGGTTGAGATGCAGAAAGGAATAGTGAACTGTTGATAATGAGTACACGTTTGGTGAGAAGAGAATCTGGGAATACGTACCCAGCAAAGCGAGCCCAGGAGGTAACCAGCAACAGTAGACTTAGGGTCAGCAGCAATTGCTTTCTGGAAAAGCCTAGCAGTTCATGTGAGTTCTCAAAATTCCAGATCGACCTCTTGGAACATGTACCGGGGCACTTACTGCGAATCAACGGTGGCTGAAAACCCACCACCAAGAAAGATTAAACCGATAAGACCTCCCTGTACACTCCTCATGGTTAAAAACTCGCCTCCAGCGTTACCGTCAACGGGTCGAACTTCTGCTGCAGCTTTAAGCAGCTCCCACATCCTTCCGGGAGATCCAACGTGTTCCGAGGTTGAATACATGACGAACATGCTGGAAAGCATGATGACGAAGATAATGACCGTGTGGACTATCACGATATTCTTAGTTTGAGAACTTGACGTGAGAGATTCATTTCAATTCTTACCCCATTCAGTAAGAAAAGTCGCCTTGATGCCACCAAACAGAGTGTAGATACACACTCCGAGAGGAAAGAGAAAGCACACTGCAACTTTGTTGATCCCAGTCACCAAGTTGAAAACATCGGCTCCTCCAACCAGAAGATTGACGGCGATGAAAATTTGGTAAATAAGGGAGTAGATGGCCAAAACGATATGTCCGGGTGCTCCATAGCGATGCTTAACGAGCTCGAGAAACGTGTGTGCATTGGGTGCTTTTCTTTTGAGCTCAATGGCGAGGACGGCAAAAGTTAGAATGGGAACAGAACAACCAGCGCCGAACCTATTTGTTGAGATGAGCTTGATGCCAATCAACACTTATTAAGTACTCCTTACCAAAAAGTGGCAGCGATACCATAAGAGTATCCAAAGACTGTAGAAGTAAGTAGAGTGGCACTCAATGTCCATGAGGACACCACCGAAGAGGCAATAAGGCCAGCTTTAATCGATCGTTTTGCAGTCAAATACATCTCAGAGTCTTGGACCTCGGAGAAATAACGACGTAGAGCATATGTGGTCAGTGTCATGACAATGGCGAAAAGCCCGCCTGGAACATCAGCATCATTAGAATCAGATGTGCCACTGTACAGATAACTGCTTGCTTACCCAGCCCGACGATGATCCCATAGCCCACCCCAGAGTCAAAAATAGGGAAGATCGAGTTTTCCGCCATGGTGGTAACGCTGCGGAAGAGTGGCAAAGCTGAAAGTGGCCCTTTGAGATGCGCAGGTTTCGCAGGTTTACCATACTGCATGAAGCTGCCGATAAGGTATTTGGTCTTTTAAGACGTTTCTGCATATGCTGCACGTCAGCTGCAGGAGCAGGACCAGGGGCCATGTGGTCAAACCCATATCCATGCCCAGCGGGTCGGAAGAATGGGGAGCCTCGTAGTCACGAAGACGTGACAGCGGGGGGACAATGACGACAGCAATAACATGCGGATGGTAAGGCCTGGTCCCAATCCTATGCCATTTTGACAGACTGGAACTGGAACTGGATCACTGCTGTTAGGGAGGCCCACTGAACGAGAAAAAAATTGGGATCTCCATGAAAGAGGCGGAAATAATGTACGTTGCGTAAAAGTCTATAAAGACCCATTCTGGAGAGGTGGTATTGCACCATCACTCTCCCACCATTCCATTGAACCAATACTATCTTCAGCCCCTTATCTTGCATTCACACGGACGAATCAGAGTCATGGAGAGCTTCCAGGCCGAACAGGCGCGTGCTGCAGCTAGTCGTCGTTGGAAGTCGGAGCCCAAGCCGAACACTCCCACAGAATGGGTCAAGCGAGCCTCAGAAGCGTCTGAGATCCTGAAGATAGATGCCGTCCAGAGGGATAATGAGGGAAAGCCCCCGTTTGCTGAAGTTCAATTGCTCAAAGACGCCGGTTTGGTCAACCTCTTGGGCCCAAGAGAGTTTGGTGGTGGTGGAGCGACATGGCAAACCTCCTACAAGGTCACGACCGAAATTGCCAAGGCGGATGGAAGTGTGGGCCATCTGCTTGGGAACCACTACTCTTGGTATTATCACTCGTTGAATCGCGAGAGGCCCCAGACAAGACGACTAACTCGTGGGTCCCCATCCTAGGTTCTGGAGCTCCCAGATTCTCGGGACACCCAAGCAAGCACGACGGTGGCTACGAGAGTTTACCGAAGGAAATTACTACCTTGGTGGAGCAGTCAACCCTCGAAACGCCGATATGATCGCCAGGGACGAGGGTGATGAGCTCGTTTTCAACGGTGATAAGTTCTTCTCCACAGGTATGATAACGAATCAACTTGCCAAATCCCTGCTCTGCTTCCATCGACTGCAGATGAATCAGCCAATACTTTCACCATCCGAAGCTAACATTTTCATTTGTCTAGGCGGTGTGATTAGTGACGTGACTGTATTGGAGGGGGTGCTGGAAGATACCGAGAAGACGCACGTGTTTGCATTTGTCTCCACGAAGCACCCCGGCATCTCCTTCAAAGGAGACTGGGACGTTATCGGACAGCGGCTGACGGTGAGACCCTGAAACTCAGCACCCTGGTCACATTTCCACGCGACATTCTCCCCCTCTCTGTGCCTAAACTGTGATCTGATAATTTGACGATCTAGGAATCTGGTGGCTGCTTGATCCGTGACGTTCATGTTTCTTGGGAACACATCGCAGGGTGGGAGAACAAGAAGCTGACGCCTCGCGACACCTACCACGACTTCATTCTCCCTCCCGTCCAGCTCCAATTTGCGGCCGTTCATCTCGGCGTGGGCATCGGGGCCCTCGAGGCGGCCGCCGAGTACACTCGCACCAAGACTCGGGCCTGGCCCTATGGCGGCGACGACAAGTCCAAAGCTACGGATGAGTGGTACATCAGGGAAGGCTATGGCCACCTCCAAGCGAAGCTATGGGCGGCTGAGGCCTTGATTGACCGCACGGCAGAGCGAGTATCAACAGCCATCCACGCCCCGCGGGCGGAGCTAACTCCACAAACGCGTGGTGAAATCGCTGTTCGTAAGTAGCAACCCGTCGCCAAGTGGATGAAAAGATGGGGGAACTATTGGAAGGCTAAGTTTCTTGTTCTAACTCGCACGTGTAGAGGTTGCCGCTTCCAAAGCAACGGCCATTGAGACCACTCTCCACGTGAGCACTAAGATATTCGAGTTGGCCGGCGCTCGTTCCAGCCTGGGCAAGTATGGCTTTGATCGGTATTTCAGGAATACTAGAGGTGAGATAGGCCAACTACTCCCCACCCTTCCTTCACTCTTGGTGCATAGACGCTAAAATGACGAATCGACAGTCCACTCCCTCCATGACCCCATTGCCTACAAGTTCCGAGAGGTCGGTAGCTGGGCCCTGTTGCGGGAAATTCCAGAGCCCAGCTGGTATACCTAGACCAAGGGTCCAAGGGACTGGATATAGCACGTGTTCAATGTAGTCCAGGGTCTCGATGGTGCCATCTGAAGCTGGGTCCTCACCTCTCCACACAGCCAGGATATAATAAACCCGAACCATAGATTGAAAATTAGAACCACTCGCGAGTAATTTCCTGCTCATTGCTGCTCCAGCCGTGACTCGCCAACTTGAACATCCGATATCCATGTATAGCTCAGGTCCAAGGTATCACCGCAGGCCTGCCACTCCCAAGATCGGGAAAGCCCTGCTCCTGCGGCAGTTTGCAACCGACTTCGTGCTTGAGCATGGCCATCCAATCCCTGTACCGGGACCATATGAAGTGCGAATAAAAACCGTGGCCGTTGGTTTGAACCCGGTGGACTGGTAATGGGCCCACCCCCTCATCCGATGGGGACAGAGGCCGCCTCAGTTAGATGCAGCGAGCTGACCAAGCTTCATGCAGGCAAGCCAAGGACTACAACTTCGGTATTAGCTCCTTGCCTTGGGTATCTGGTCGTGATGTCGCCGGTGTCATCGAACAGGTTGGCGACTCTGTTACCAATCTGTCACCTGGAGATGCCGTCTTCACCCTGACAGATTATACCAGTGCCCGCTGTGGCGCATTCCAGGATTACTGCATCGCCCATCATGCATCCGTTGCTCTCATACCGCCAAGCTTGACCTTTGAGGAGGCTGCTTCGATTCCGGTTGGTGCAATCACTGCAGCCGTCGCTTTGAAGCGGTATATGGGTATAAGTGCCCAGAGCCACCACGCCTCCCAGAAAGATTCAGAGGATTGGGTGCTGGTATGGGGGGGAGCAACTTGTACAGGATATTACGCCGTACAATTGGCGAGTCTATACGGCTACAAAGTCATATCTGTGGCCGGTAAAGACAATATGGATTATGTGCGGGGAGCAGGTGCCAATGTGATGCTGGATCGAGAGATGAGCGGTACAGAGCTAGTTGATGCAATCCAGCAAGCAACATCGGGGCAACTGAACTACGCTTTAGACGCTGTCAGTCCTGTGACAGCTGGACTCTGTTTGCAGGCAATGAATACAGGCAAGCCTGACGAGAAGAAAACATTGGTCGCGCTGGCGGGCATTCCGAAGCATGCAAAGGCTGCTGGGCAGAGTGGGCAACCAGTCGAACTGTCCAACGGCATCTTCGTCAATATGCCCGAGATAAAAGTAAAAGTCTTTCACAATGATCCGGAATTCGGGCAGGAAATTCTTCAAGAGCTCACTACATATCTTACGAATGGACAGCTTCAGGTTCCTCGCATCAGGATCATGGATGGAGGTCTAGAAGACGTCAACAAAGGTCTTTCATTGCTGAAAAATGGTCAGATATCTGGTTCTAAGCTAGTTATTCGTGTTGACAAAACAACCGATGCCCAGGGAGATTTGCATTATCATGGATGGTTGTAGGATATTCAATAGAGTAAAAGACTGCGCAATTTTCTCATGTCTGTACCTTTTCCAGCTTGCCTGTCTTAACATCATAGATGTAGCCTGTGATGGGGACATCCAAAACAAGGGGACTCTTCTTGATGACCTCAATATCATCTAGGACGCTTTGCCTCAAGTCATGGAATGGCAAAAATGCAATATGGTCTGCATTTTCACTCAGCTCATTGCGAATCTTAGATTTGAGCTCTGTGTCCGTGAAAGTGAGCATGCCGCAATCGGTCTGCAAGATCGGTCAACACTGCGTTCATAACCTTACTAGATTCTCTTGCTGAAGAAAATGAGGAGATACATACGTGGTGGATGATGACAATTTCTCGTGTGCCCAAAAGCTGCTGGGAGATGACAAGCGAACGGAGGCCATCAACCGTCCGACCTCCTGCGTTTCGGATCACATGAGCGTCACCCTCTTCCAGTCCAAGGACTCTTGCCGGATCAAGCCGAGCATCCATGCATGCTACGATCGCCACTTTTCTGCATTGACATATTAGAGATAAGGAGCAAGACAAATGATGGGACAGGACGCATGAGCTCACCGGCCTGGAGGGAGGGGTAGATCCCCCTTGGTGAAAGACGCCGCATATTTCTGATTAGCCGCCTCAAACTCCGGAATGACAGAACGTACGAACGACATGGCGGGCTATAATTAATTTGCAGAGCGTTGATCAAGGGAATCTGGGGGCTGGTGAGACTGTCCGCTATGGCTCCCTTAAGTAGTAAGATCCCATAGGCGTGGCATATCAAGTTCCACCTTTCAGGCAGATGATAATACATTACAAGACGGCCCTGGTCCTCACCTGGGACCAAACAATTAAAGCCCGACAATTCCCCAGCTGCATGGCCACCCCCGTCGAACGGCAGTGGGACTCTCCTCCTGCACCGGAAATACGGTAGGAACTGACGCGAGGCAATGGCGTAACATGCGGAGAACAGCACGCAAAGGCGCAGTGGGGACGAAGTGAGATGGGAAATTTGAAATCCATCAACTGAATGTTCTCAGACCGAGTGCTTTTCTCATTTGCTCGACTACTTCAGACGGTGGTTCCCGGAGTTTCTGCATAGCTCATACTGCTGATGGCCACCGACTTGTAAATGTGTTGAAACTGTCAAGCTTTTTCAGTGCGGCTATAGCACCTAAATGGAGGAAATTGTTTCTCGCAGTGTCAAGTCAAGCCCAAGCATACCAGCCTAATCTCACGACACTCCAGCTTACAAGCTCTAATAAGTCGAGAGAAGTTGCGATCGGAGCTCAGTTAGCTAGATAGGACTGACAAAGGTCTACTCTTGTTGTTGGATCATGCTTCTCTATTTTTCATATATTTTATCTAATATTTCATAACAGATGTAAAACAGTCATCCCATAGGTCCTTGTGTCGATTGCATCGACAAGAACACAAACAGGTTACTTACCCAGCCCACGACCCATAGCATACATGGTCTCGAAGTCATATATGAGATTGTAATGGGTAATTATTGTGATCATTTGATCATAGGTAAATTATTTACTGTTGATTGCTGCATTCTGTTATCAGATGGAAAGGCAAGGAGTAGGTGTATAGGGTAGGTGATCAGTCGAGATGACTTCGAACTCACAACTTCACAACTTCACAATGTCACTGATGACTTACCTCACTACCATCTCGCTGAGAGCAAATTCTTGTTTTACCTAACCAGCTGAAGAAGATACGCATCCTCATATGCCTACTTGTGTAATAAGAAACAGTTAACATGTGACAATGCGGGCCAAATCAAGGTTGCTTACCGATAAGAGCTTATCGATAAAGCCCACCGACAACGTCATAGCCTCCAGCCAAATGCGACGGGCTATGACGCGGGATGATCTCGATTTCACCCACCCTCCACCCACTAAAATCAAGTTTCTTTCTTGGTAGACGCGCACCTCCTTCAGAAATCTACCGTGAACAAACGTGATATTACGGACCCGGACCCTGCATCATATCCCTGCTTCCAGAATGACGTTGCTGATCGACACAGGCTTTCTCTCGCAGCGACCACGTTTCCAACCTGCCATCAAATGAGGATGTCGAGTACTACGTGTGCAGTCATGGGAGGATGACGGAATTGCTCTGCGCGTGCAGGCAGATCTAGATATAAGAATGCCTACCCTTGGCTATCCATAGACCTACGACGTTCTCGTTCAAGATCATCGAAGATTAAATTCTCCCCTGCCTCGACACTCACGCAACTCCGAAGTTCCCACCAGACACAAATCCAAATACTCAGTCAACATGGAGTGGGCAAAGAACACTTACAACACCCAGTACGAGAACTGGGTCCCCTGGCTGGAGGACGTCTACCTCCGCTGGTTCACCAAAGACAACAAAACCAGTTACACCGCCAAACGTACGCCGTTCCTAGCTCTTCCGCCCCAATAATACTATTTCACTGCTAACAAGACTCCCAGAGAACCTAGACAAGACCAAGGTCACGGGCATCCAGCAAGTCGACACCCTCCAAGACGGCGTGAACAACCTCGCCGCCTCCCAGCTCGGCCAGGGAGGCCTCCTGCAGCCCGTGACGGACCTCAGCTCTAAGGAGGGCATCAACCGCGCCGAGCGCCAGGGCAAGGACGATAAGGGCGGCTACGTGCCCACGTCCGTCCCCGGGTCTGAGGCCGTCGGTAACGCTGCCACCACCGTCGCCGATGGCGGCAAGTCCATCGCGAACGGCGCCACTAGCGGCGTCAAGAGCGCTGGAGGGTTCCTCGGCGGTGCCTTTGGAGGAGGCAAGAAGCAGGAGGGGCAGCAACAGCAGCAGTGATTGATGTGTGAATAGGTTTACAGATCATTGAGCGTCCAGTTTTTCATTTGGTTCTTTACGATATAATACTTTTAGTCCGCAGAGATTGATTTGAACGTGATCGCTCTTTCAGTTTTAGTTTCAGATATCCAAAACTCTTAAATAGAATTCAATCCCTTTTAAAGAATCCATTGTGTGGCAAGAATCAAATCCCAATGCGGGTGACTGTTCGGAACCATCATATCCAACATCGTCGTCCTAACATATCCCTCATCAACCCACTCTCTGGAAATATCAGTACGCGCATGGTTTTCAAACGAACTACTTTTTAGACTAGACTAAAGAATGACTCGTGGTACTTGAAAAAATCCCATGAGATGTGCTCTCTTCGCGACAACAACACCGTCGCAATGGGTATTCTGTCTTCTGATTCAGGAAAAATCAACTCATCGAGACTTTGTGGCAGCGCTCTCTAACTAACACCGGTTGACGCGGGAGAAGGTTTGCGAAGTTGGCAGATCGATGGGAGTATCATATGGCCAGTGAGTCAAGTTGGCGTGCTAGAAGTACTCTAGGAATCGCATAGCCTCTCCTCGTCCATCGTCCAGTGGCCTGACGTACTTGGAGCCACGAGGACGAAGCGACGACCAGTCCCGCACCAGCTCCCGTGTTCCGTGATGGTCTCCCGGGGAGAATACCTTGGGCGTAGTCCATATCGGGATGATCATGCTATCTTGTGCGAGATAGTAGTTTTCAGTTCCTTCGGCGATCCGGAGGCATCGGTGGATCGGAATGAAGCGGGCGCGCAGGACGCCCGAGCAGCCAACCCGGTACAAGCGAACCTACTTGAATCTCCCCTCAGACTCATGGAGGAAATCCTCGAACTGATGTTTCTCCGACGTCATCATGGGCTAATCCGAATGGACAATATAGCCAAAGAAGTGGACGGTATGTCCGCTGCTTATGTTTTCAGAAGAGTCCGAAGACTGAGGAAGGAGAGGAGGCGAGAGGAGGCGAGAAGAGGATGAGATGAGGTAGAGATTGGAGGAGAGCAAGTTGAAAGCACTTTGGAAGGTGCAGCTGCAGGTTTCCGTTGGCTCTACCCTCAGTGGCCATCGGTATACTCAACCACACGCAACTCATTTTCAAGATAGAAAGTAGTAGATGTGTATTTCCAAGAAGAGTTGACGATGGAGGGGTCGATACGGACTAAGAGTTGGAGGGAGAGTCCCGTATCGCATCTCATAGCCGAGGAACTGCAGGCGAAATATGGCCTGAGCTGCCTCTGGGAGTATCTGGAGTACGCCGTGAGGGACGCCACGTATCTGGGACCGTGGGTAGAGCGGCCATCGGAGGTGCAAGTAAGGAGGATGGCAGCTCTCTATCTATCACTGACTGGGGGATCTAGGCTCGGAGAAGAACGCTCTCGGTGAGAAGGATGAGTGGTTCAAGTCTGGAAACAGAAATGGCGTGCGAAGAAGATTAGACAAAATCTGGCAGCACCGAATTTTTCAATACCAGGCAATAGTTTGGAAGCATCAATACAATCATGGCTTATTTGAATTCTGATTGACCGTGGCTGTGGTGTTTCTCTACCAACAAACTATCTCTCTCCGGTTGTACTCGTCGTATCGAAGATGGACGGGACGACCGATCTAGTTTGAAGAAAGCACAAAGAGATAAGCACTTCTGTACCCTACAATGATCGTGTCGATGTGCTGCTCAGTGTTCCTGCAGATAAGAAGTTTGAAGGTTTCCCTCACGTCAAGGCGTGGAATAAAAAAAAATGGTCACCAGACCTACCGGGATCAAGTCAATGGAGTCTCGTGCGCGGCCGATGAATGAGCAAGGGCTCAATTGGAATAGACTGTCAAAGGGCTAGTCTAGCATCGAGGAGTTTGAGAATGCTGGCTAGGGCCAACGGACAATGAACCAGTCGTCACTCGAGTATCACAAGGTGAATCCACGACAAGAGTACCAAAGCATAAGTAGGCATTAAACTAATCTTCGAAGCACTCCTGAATACAGAAATTCCTCAGGGTATAAGATACGACCACAATTAATCATCCCCCTCAATACACAACCCCATAAGTTATAGACAATTTCGATTACCGACCCTCCACACTTCTCACGAACAACATTGACGTGGCCTTCCCTTACTGTCCATCCCAAGCAACCTTCATGGAGGTTGGGAAGGGGAAGGTGCTGCCCCAGTCCTCGGTGAGGTAGACGGAGAAGCCTCCAGGCTGAGGAATCTTCTTCAGCTCACCTTGAGGTCCAACAGCACGACGAATGCCCTTCTTGCGGAAGACGGCGCGGAACAGCTCAGTGAGCGCGACCTGGCTGATGTCACGGCCGAGACCGATGTGGGGGCCGGCACTGTAGTGGATGTAGGAGTCGCGAGGACGACTGGGGTCGATCCTCTCCGGCTGGGGGAAGTGGGCGGCGTCGTTGGCGGCGTCGGCGAAAGAGATGAAGATCTTGTCGCCAGTCTTGATGTTGACCTGGCGGCCATCATCCTCAAGGATGGTATCATTGCCGGCAGCCTCGCGGTAGAGTCCTGTGGTGCCAGCCTTGCGAACACCCTCGAGAGCATATCCGAGAAGGATATCGTCGGTCTCGTCGCTGGAAGGCTGAGCAGCAACACGCTGGATCTCGTTGACATGAGGAGCACCCTCAGGGGAGAGGTAGAAGTCGACAGCTTGGGCAAACTAGAACAGTTGTGTTAGTCAAATTGATATGTAAAAAGGAATGGATCCACGTACCACTTCGGCTTGGTTGGGCACCATTGCTCCAGCAGTGGGGAGAATTTCGCCATATGTAATCTCATGAGGATCAACTCCAGCCTTGGAAAGACCCTTGATCAAGTTGACACCGTACGCCTCAAGAGGATCATTCTTGTGCTTGGGGGTGTAAAGACCGCGCATACCCAGCTTAGAAGCAAGCTTGACATTGAACTCAATAGCACGGCCGAGCTTCTGCGCCGCCTCCTTAGTCGCCTGTCGCAGAGGAAAGGATTTGGCGGGGTCACTGTCATAGAAAACGCCGACAAAGATGTGAGCGAGGGTCTGGTACAGCTCAAGCTCGGAGAAGAGACCCTTGGGGTTTTGCTTGTCCTTGATGGGTAGGTTGAACAGACGTGCGACAAAGTGTGTGTGAGCCAGGTTACCGAAATCACGGACAAGGTCGATTTGAGTCTGTGCGCCAAGCTTGTACGACTTCTCTGCCAGAAGGGTCTCAGCAATGGCAGAGTAGAAAGCCTTTACAGACTTCTTCCATTCAGGCCTGTACAGGAGGGACTCGAGGGCCTTGCGGCTGTTGCCATGCAGAGGTTTGTCGCCGAGGAGCCTGCCGAAAGAAGATTGCCAGTCAATCTTGTACTTGTCGACATTCTCAAGGATGTACTTGGCACCACCGTATGTTGTTACGTTGACGCGATTGATGTGAGACGTGGGGCGGTCCCAGCTGAAGAGGTGTTCACGGTTCAGGCTCTTCATGATCCTACGATTCTCGTCGGGAGTCACCATGGGGTAGTGAGCATAGATGGAGTCCGACTTGAAGTGGTTAGGGAAGCCTCGCATGAACAGCTTGAAGAAAGAGCACCCATGGTTCACGCTGAGATCATAGTCGACCTCTTTGTAGCCCCAATTTGTCAAGTTGCCCGGGTGGTAGTCAGTGGTGTAGTACCTGTCACCGCGGACAAGCGCAACAGCATCAGACAGAACGACACGAGAGATGGTATAGGTGGGGGCAATGCCGACACCAGGAACCATGGGCTCCTTGCGCTCCTCGGCAACGATACCAGGATACAACTCGACATTGTCAGGATGCTGGTACAGGTTGCGGAGACCATCAGCAATCACAGGGTCGGAATTGATCTCCTCGAACGTGTCATATGCCTTCATACCAAAGTGCTTTCGGAACTCGTTCAAACTGGCCAGATTCCAACGACGGCCACGCATGATTCCCAGAATCTCGACGGGCTTCATGCAGCGGGGCACGTTGCGGCCACCAAAGGAGCCTCCGGGTGACTCAATAGCTTGAGTCAAAGCCTCCATGAGCTGGTCGTCATTGAAGCGTCCATCAGATCCACGCTTGAACCCACTAAAGGTACGCTCGGCGGGATCCTTGGGAATGGACTGCTCGAATGCCTTCATCGCGCCCATCAGAGCGCGCATGTCCATCTCCTCATAGTTACCGCCGCCCAGGAGCTCCGAGTAGAAGTCCTCAATCCACTTCTCATCTGGCTCGGAGATGCACGAGTGCCAGCGGTAGCAGAGGTTGAACTCGGCCGAAACGACATTGCCAACGCCGGCTTCGGAGCCATTATTGGTTCCCACAGCGACACCCATCTCCTGACGGGGATCAAGGGTCCAAGCTGTATCACATCGGTTCAAGTTGATGATATTGCGGACATAATCGATGAGGGTGATGTTTATGTACAGGCCGGAGGTGACCAGACGAGCAGTCTGGAAGATCTCCTCGTCATGCTTCTTCCAGACTGCTGCTGCCTCTTCATCGCTCATTCCGGGCGTGGGCGTAGGGAATCTGAGGTCCTCGTTGATCTCGGCCAGATTGGTCGCAACATAGTTGTGGAACCGGTTGAACATGATGAGAAGAATGCAGACGCCGGGAGGGTTTCCGATCAGACGCTTGTCGGCAAAGCAATCTGGCTTAAGATGCCCACTCTTGAAGGTTCGGATGCTATCCTGCTCTTCCTGTGTGTTACCGTACAGAGGCGCCAAGTCGAGATAGGACGAGGTGTTGTTCTTGTTGGGGTCTCTCTGGTCGGTCCAGAACAGATCTTTCAAACGCATCAGCCTGCATGCTCTGAATATCTAGTAGACTTCAACGACAAACATACCGTGAATGATGATGGTAGCCCAGTACCAGAGAATACTCGAAGTGTTGTTGGGGTTCTTGCGGAATCCATCTCGAGCCATGACAGCCTCATAAATGGCTGCAGGGTCAGGTTGGGCACCCAATTGAGCGTGCTTCGGTTTGCAGGAGCGCGAATACGTATGACCCCTAGCACCGAGGAATGGCAGTGTTGGGTTCTGTAATGAATTTGTCAGATTTATCATGCGCAAAGCCACCGGGCCTCATGCGACCTGCGGCTGATTCGAGAGAACTCACGTTATAAGCACCGTCTGGGCGGCGGTACTTAGATTCGGGCCCGATATACAACAGAGGGGGGTGGTCAAGCGAATTCCAAAGCTTGTCAATAAAGCTATTGGTGAGCTTCTCTTGTGTTCGGGAATGGTTGGGGAGCGCAGCGACAAGCTGGATCGTTCTCTCCATGATCATGGTCTTGTCATCCTGCTGCGTCTCGCCCTTGAGCTTGCCTTTGACAATGTCGAGGAGGGTCTTGTAATCTGCGTAAATCGGTCAGTATCACTGGTACTCTACTCTCAAAGTGCGATTGCCTCTAGTCGAAGTTCATACATACCCCGCTTGGTGAGTCTGCCCACATCATCGCGAAGTGTCGGCCTATTCACAATCTGGCGGTACGAGCCGTCGCCCATTTCAGTCGGAAGAGGGCGACTCGAGGCTACCCGCATCTCCTTGACGGAAGCCAGTAGGCCCGGCTTCTTGGCCGCCGCCGCCGAGGATAGAGGTGCCGGCTGGTTGTCATGCTTTCTTGCCGGATTGACAGGTGCCGCGGTCGTCACCTTGGCCTTGGACTTCTCTCCATTCTGGACGCCGTTCTTCTCGTAATCTGCCATGATGAAGCCTAGTCAATTCACCTCGACAGGTCGACTAGAGAAGGTAGGAGGATTGGGGATGAGAAGGCTACCCTTCGAATGGGCCTGGGCTGCTTGCCCATCTTAAACCTGCCGTACAACCATCCGGGGTCACATCCATTGCTTCTCGCACACCCCTAGTTTACTACTAAATGTCACACACGCCTGGCATTCGATATCCTCTACAGTCAACCACCCAGTAGTACCCCTAGCAGTAACTCGAAGCCAAAAGAAAATAATAGCCCGAGGACTGGCAAGGAGGGAAACCCACTCCTACGCACGCCCATCGTCACATCCAAGACATGGCACTCCGCTAGGTATGCGGCCCCACAACTCACCACGGCGCCAGCTGTTTGCAGGGATCTCTGATCTACCATTTAGCATGTATAGTGAACGTATCAGTCAAGTAGTTCTTGCATGTGAGAGGTAGATGGCGGCTAGGGAAGGCAATCTCATCAAGCCTCGAGCAAGGGGGAGGTGCGACAAGGGTCCACAAGATGTACACGTTAATTAAGAGCCGGCGGATGGAGATCATACCGTCAATAGCATTCAGCTGTGTTCCTTCGGGGTGATCTCCCAAAAGAGACGAACTCAATTGACAATCCAGCTACCATTCATGAGTAGAGATGGTGATGGCCGAGGCGCTGTCTTGCTGGTATGCCTATCCGCCTTTGATGAAGTAATTGACCATGTCTCACCAGGACGAAACGTGCAAATCACCAGTATGATGTAGTGCAACTGCACTGTTCTTGGTGAACAGAGGGTGTACTGCGCTGGATGTACCACATTGGGGCGTTCAACTTCCATGGCGCCAACACTTGGAGAACCGGGCCTATCAAGAGCCATTCGTATGTAATACAACATAGCCCAATCTGATCGCCAGTGACGGTTTAGGCCTCGCGCATAAAGATATTGGTGCCCGTAAGTGCTGAACGCTGGCCAAGCAGCCAATAATTGTTTGATTGTCAGCAGACGCGCCTTACAAAGCATGTTGCCGAGCGCGGATATATGCATAGGTGGCATGGTGTACTTGGGTCTGAAAAGCATACCAATGAAGTCTTTGATGCATCACTTCTTGGACACCCCGCCCAGCCTTGGCCAGCCTCAAACAATGAGCATGATTCGCCGCTCTACAACAATGCGCATCCCACAGCCAGCTGAACCCGGCTGGTTCGACCGGCGGGGTGAGAGAGCGGTATAGCAGCGAGTATCCAGATACACCTAGTGCGTACATACAGGCGAACAGAACCGATGGGTTGCCTCGTTCCGGTAGTTACGGCGTAGTGTCATGAACCTCTGCAAAGCTTTCGCTCTATTGAGCTGGTGGGCCCTTCCTGGACGCTCAACTGACTGGCCGGGGATTAATTTAAAGGCCACTGAACTGAGAGTAGACGGCGGGAGCCAATGGAGCGGGCCGGCCATCATCCATCCAGCTTCATCCTGGTTGCTGTGGTGGACCAGATCAGTGGATCTCATCTCATCATCATGCTGAGAGGTTGGGCGAGGCCGCCAGCTTACCATCGTCCCCCGCATGGCATCCCGGCAGGTCTCTCGTGAAATCGTGACAAGGCTCGCGTTGCTCAGCTACTCGGGCCCTTTCCGTGAATTCATGAGCAAGTGTGAGCTTTGTCACAGGCGAGATGATGATCCATCTTACCAGGAGAGAGAGCGGTAAGCAGTGTCTGGGCCCATGTTTAATCAGGTCAACCGAAACGCGGATCAGTGCCGTAACGTACCGACCTACCAGTGCGTAGTATCGGTGTGCTACTTCTCCATCCAGCTCAGATGCATGGTTGCATGAGCCTGCAGTCTAAGCAGACCCAAAATGGTGTTTTTGGCTAGTGTCAGCGCCATCACCGACCAAGTGGCCAGCTGAATCCAATCCCAGGTGCTCTGATTCGGGATGTCTCTAAGACTATCCTGTCTTGGCGGACATCCTGTGGATATCAGGCCTGGCGGTCATAGAAAACCCAGTGATATGGCCATCGGTCGTTGTTATCGCGGACTTAACATGTACGATGGTTGTACAGTCGGAAGGGTCTTGCTTGGTCACTCACAGTTACGTGGTATTGTCTCACCCCTTCGGTTTTGTGAGGTGCCCGCCCAAGCTTCCCGAGCCTGCACGACATGCTAGGGTCGAGTATGAGAGGATGTGTCGCGCGTCCTCATAACTCTTTCTCCCAATCAGACAGGGCGTGGGGAATTATCTCGGCCGATCATGCTGGCCAAAACGAATACCACGTCGATCGGGAGATTTGGCTGGCATCTGATGGACTGGCGACATGTCTGCAGGCGGGAACAATGCAATGCATCCCAGGCTCATGCTCTTCGGAATCAATACAAATCAAACATATTGCGGGGCAAGTCTCCTCTCCGCCTGATGAAAAAAAGCAAACAGCAGCAGGCCCGACTGAGACACACGTCTTGTCTCAACACATTTCGAGTGTAGCGTCCCCTCATTTCGTCTCCGGCACCCCAATGATACCCTGCTCGTGTGGCCGCTAACAAGTGCTCCACGGCGCCAACCGACGATGCTCAACCCTCCCTGGAAATGGGATGCCTGGTCGTCTTCCGAACCTCACATCCATCATGGAGCGTGAGACCCCGGGAGAGGTTGGAAATGAGCAACTTCACATTGGCTGTCCAATCGTTGCCTCACACCCCCCTCCCTCTCGCATGGGTTCTGTGCTGGCGCCGTGTCCAGCTCCCCACATCCCCTCAAGCTATCGAGAAACGGGCAATCGAGCATGCAGCGTCCTCGTACAACGCGCGAAGTACCGGGCGGACATGGTGCGGGAGCATGAGGTTTCTCCAATTGGCCGGTCCATAGCATGATGATCGTCAAGCCCCCTGGAATGCTGATCCTCACCTCTGCCTTGGTGGACCCTATTGTAATGTCCCATCTGCCGAAACCTACCAGCCTCACGGGTGTAGGTAGGTAGTTGGGAAAAGTGGCCGAAGTAGATGTGTGAAGAGTGTAGATGGGTGATGAGTGGAGGTGTCTGATGGTAGTTGCACCTACGCGTTCGTGCGTGATGTGATCGATCCAGAATACATGTAACAAATATCCGAATATGTCCAGAGGAAGGAGGTATGCAACTCTAAAGCTTCTTTCGGTCAAAGTCGTGGGGAGCAAGAATGCCCGTCCCATCCACCAGGGGCGCATGAGACATAAGGACCTAGTAACAGGGTATTATTCTTTCAATTCACATGGCTGTCCTTCGGGACGTCTAATAGATAAATTCCAACGCTATGCTAATCCCAGTCAAAGAGATTCGTCGACTTCAATTCCGAGCGTGGGTTGCTCAAAGCCATGCTTCCCAACGTGGTGGTAATGAATTGTATCTGTCATTACTTGTGAATTGACATGATGTTCTACTTTGTGCGCAGATCGTGTACGTAAAATGGCAGTTTATCAGTCTCGTACACGTGCCCTTGAGGGTGTTCAGCCACTCGATATAGGTTGTCAACCGAGTGCTGGTGGAATGTGTCGGTGTGATTGCACTGCAGGATGTGTTCCAGCCCAGGAGGGTTTGTTAGCCTGAAGATGCCATGCCTATGCTTATATTAGTCTATGATTCAGCCATTTTGGTCGGACGAAATACTCACGAAGGTTCGAATTTCGGCGCGCAGACGATAGCAATGCTTTCAGGCATCATGATTTGGTACCCTGCATGGGTATGAAGATCTCGTGAGCTCATAAAGCATGTCTGGGTGGGGTGTGTATGAATCCATCCGATCATAAGCAAATCTTCACTGTCGCAATAATCAAACATTGCCGACTCATTTTCCGTCTCGCACGTGTCCGAGGTGCATTTCTGGTCAGGGATAACGAGGCAACGGATGAACAGCGCATTATTAACTGGTGTGCCGCAAAGAATCCCGCACATCTCGAGGCCACGACGTGTGTTGTCTGCCGCAACTTTAAGGAACTCACGACGCAGTGCTCGGGGCAAGAAAATGGATCGAATTGGGTCACCGTTCTCAAGATATGCTCCAGGCTTGAATGTGAGGCGCTCCTTTCTAGGGATGGGTGGCGTCTCATCTGGGATTTCTGCTGCTTTCGGTGGGCGAGCGGGTGGCTGTTGCACCACCGGTCCTGCTTGAGGTGATGGTATCAGAGGTTGGTAATCGTCTAGAGCAACCTTGCTGGGAATTTTTGGGGCTGATCCGTCGAGTTTGGCGGCCGAATACTCGTCCATATGTAGGGGTTGCTTGGGTGGTCGTGCTGGCTGAGCAGTCTGGGGTGGCTCGTATACCGGCGACAATGGTTTCTCGCTAGATTCGAGTCCTACAGGCCTCGACTTGGAGATAGAAGGGTAGTTGTACGTTTGAGGTACTGGTTGAGAGATGGATCCCACAGGATGAATATCTCTCGCTGCAGCTGGAGAATCCAAGTTTCTCCTCGCTGCCTCCATTTGCCTCTGGAGGTCGTTATCATGTGCGATGGTGCTTGTTCTATCCCAATCATCCCACCGTCCAGCTCTCCGTCTCGTCAGGGTCTCCTCATCGGACAGGCCAGCTTGCTTGGTCGCTCGACGGACGGTGTCTCGGCGTATGATCTCCCTCCTAGCGAGGTCAACGGCAAGGTCCTGATGCTCCGAGGCATCAAGAATTCTGGCATTTCCGCTCAAGGTGGGATCTCGGGCTGCAAACTCGGCGTAGCTCCTTCGGTCCGTGACGGGAGGTGGTTGGCGCTTGGATGGCTCATCAGCAGGCCTCATTCGCTCCCATTCTTTATAGGCATTATTAATTTCGGGTTTCAGCTCCTCGAGGTCCTCGAGGACACTGTCAACGCGCTTCGAGAGTGATCTACAGGCTTTGCGGCCTTCGGGGGTCTTGTATTCGGGGTGTCTCGGTAGGTAGTTTAGGACGAGGAGAGAGTGGCGGTATAGCATGACATAGGCGCGACCAACATCGCCTTCGGAGAGGGCAAAATTTGCCTAAGAGAATGAAAAGCACCGTGTTAGCAGTCACCCTAGAGGGGCAGTTGAGGGAGGGTGATGCTCGTCAGGGCCACATGCCTCTTGGTACAGCGTTTCGGCAGCTCGAGACCAATGCTTCAAGGGAATGTTAGGCTTGAATACAAAGTCTTCTGCCTGTGCCGTCAGCTCGACCACCTTTGGCGGGCGAGAAGGCTGCATCGGCGGTCGAGAATCCATAATGGCGGGGGAAACTGAGCGAAGGGGAACTGGTGATGTCGCGTTGAATCTGAGGCAATGGAGCTCCCCAGGAAAACAAGGCTGAGGGTCGCTGTCGTTATCTAATCGTCAGGCACTCATGTACCTTGATACCAGGTGGTTGTCTGGTAGCGGCCAATATCTGGAGCAAAATCAGAGGACAATCCTTCGTATTGTGTAGGAGTAAATTCCATCTCTAACATTCGTGCTTGATTTTGACAATTCACCAGCGTTTCAAGCTATTGTCCGTAAATATTAAGGCCTGCACTGGAAAGTTGAGATATGGAAATACCGGGTCGCGGTAGTGGCTCCCGCCCTGAAGCGCTAATGGGCAGTCACGCAGATTAGCAGAAACGCCGATGGCTGACTAGAGGGTTCGAGAAAGGCAACGGCCCAAGATGAAGCTGGAAGCTGTCTGCCTGGAGGAAAGGATGGCGCGTCTACGCGGGTTGCGCGTTGCACATCATCACTTTCGTTCAAGCACAGCAAAAGCAGGCAACACAACAAATACAGAAGGAGCAGCCAGACCCCTCCAACTGCCACAGGCACCGCGGGGCACCATTAATCAAATTGGATATGACGAAATAATATGCACATAAGACGCATAACGCAGTCCCGCTAAGCCTGCTCTCTGCTTCTCTCAGTACCTGCATATTTAGAAGCCAACTTTAATCTCATTTCTTCAACGGTGTACTCGTCGTGGTTCTAGATTCAAGCGGCAATGCAATAGGCATCAAGCTTGAACGAAATGGGATTTTATTGGGCGCGTTATGAGAAACATAGAGATATCAATGTCCAAAAAATGCTAACAGAAAGCCTTGCTCAATCACATCAAGCCCACCAAAAGCCATCTCCCAGGTGAAGAATGCTGGAGGATAGGTTTTATTGTCCCTTGCCAGCCTCAGCTGCCGCGGACTGCGCAGCGGATTGGACTTGAATGATCTCCATCTTCTTCTTCTCTGCGCTCTCCTGCTGTTCCTTTAGTACGCCTTCCAGTCTCGCGCTGGGAGGAAGTCAGTACACTTCTCTCAATGTCCGACAGTTATGCAGGGCTATTTTCAGATAAAAAACAATGTAGTGAACTCACATTTCTTTGTCGATAAAATCTAAACGGCCGTTGATCGTGCTCACAGCCTCCTGCTTCTCTTGCTTCAGGAGTACCGGTCCAACGAGTTTGTAAATGGTCTCTTCTTCATCCATTGAGGCGAATTCCTGTCTCGCGCACAAGCCTGTTAGCATCAAGTGGTCCTATCCATCGAGCAGCAGAGCAGAGTGGGAGGCGGGGGCAGCCTACATTCTTTACTCCTGTATTCTCCTGTTTCTGCCCCTCAAGTTTTTGTCGCGCTGCTACTGTTGTCTGTAGATCTGTTTATTGTGAGCAATGGGCTTCCTCGTTCCTTGGAACTAGTCCTTGGCTAGAACCTGTCTCACCTTGCTGCAGCTTTTGAAACTCATCAGTGAGCGCCTGGAGGCGGGCTTGAGAGTCGGCGGAAGCCATTGCGAAATTGTGTGGAGGGGTAATTCGTGGACAAGTCTGGCTGGACACCCGGAGAATGGGAGTTTTCCTGAGTCTTGAGGGCCGCTCTCAAGATACTCTCAAGTCAAGAGTAATTTTCAGCGCCGTCACAATGGGGTATCCTCTCCTCAAAATCGCTGTTCTCTTGGTATCATCCGCAGTCGTCTATCTCATGGTGGTGCTCAGCAAAACTAGCCTGCGCCCCGCTATGTGCATCACTCGCTTTGCTGGCCAGAGACTCACTCCTCCACTAACCCTACTGTAGCAACGGTTGATCCCCACTGGCGCAGACAACAGTGGATGCCTAGCCTCTGACGAAGCAGCGGGGCTCCCAGCCAGGTGCCTGCAATTACAGGCTTAACAGAGGCTGTGCTACCCGGACTCCAGCGCTCTGCATCTTAACTTGTGGCCTTATCGTGATCGCACCAGCTGCACGACAAACCTCGCTAAGCCGTTATTACCCCATTCAAGCAAACCTATTTCCAGGCTCGATCAGACGAGGAGATCGGCGTCCATCGAAAGCCCCCGCTGTTGAAGGACAAGATATACTGCGCTCCCTTCTTTGGCAGTGTGTTATTTTCGCCTTTCCTTTGCCTCTGCGACCTCGGCGATACTTCCTCTCAGCGATCACCCAATTCCGTCTGTCTGCTCCGTTCCCCACCATTTCCCCCGCCACGGGCTCTGACCGAACCTCAAGCCAGCACAACGCTCAAGGGACCTCGACCTACTCCAGCCTCAAAGCCACACCTTCTCCCTCTGTCCGACCCGAGACTTTGAGCAAGCCGCTCCCAACGACGTCGCCGCCGCCGCCATGTCGACCAACTTCCGCGACCGCGCCATCGCCGAGGTGCAGAAGGCGATCACGGCCGACCACAACAAGGAGTACCAGAAGGCCTTCGACCTCTACATGTCCTCCATGGAGCTCTGGGTCAAGGCCCTCAAGTGGGAGAAGAACAAGGCCCTCAAGGCAACCATGCAGGAGAAGATGGCCACCTACCTCGACCGCGCGGAGAAGCTCAAGCAGTTCCTCGCCGCCGAGGCGGAGAACACCAATGACGCGGGGGGCGGCAAGGGGCTCATGGGCGCCAACGGCGGGGGCGCTGGCAAGGGCAAGGCTTCGGCCGAGGACGAGGACAGCAAGAAGCTGCGTAACGCGTTGGCCGGCGCCATTCTTCAGGAGAGGCCCAACGTGCGGTGGGAGGACATTGCCGGTCTCGAAGGTGCCAAGGAGACATTGAAGGAGGCCGTGGTGCTGCCCATCAAGTTCCCCAGTCTCTTCCAGGGCAAGCGAAAGGCGTGGAGAGGTATCCTGCTGTACGGCCCTCCCGGTACCGGTAAGAGTTATCTGGCCAAGGCCGTTGCGACTGAGGCAAACAGCACATTCTTCAGCATCAGCAGTTCGGATCTGGTCAGCAAATGGATGGGTGAAAGTGAAAGGTAGGATAATCCTTCGCGGTAGTGCCATTATGCTGCGTTTCTGCCGGTTCTGTAGGGGTTTTCAAGTGCTGACTCGTGCTCCCAGGTTGGTCAAAAATCTATTCGCAATGGCACGAGAAAATAAGCCATCCGTCATCTTCATCGACGAAGTCGACGCTCTTGTTGGACCCAGAGGCGAGGGCGAGTCCGAAGCTTCACGTCGTATAAAGACCGAGTTCCTCGTACAGATGGATGGTGTCGGCCAGGACAGTGATGGTATCCTTGTTCTAGGTGCGACCAATATCCCCTGGCAACTCGACTCAGCGATCCGTCGACGATTCCAAAGACTGGTCCACATTGGTCTGCCAGACGCCAATGGCCGAGCGAGGATGTTCAAACTTGCCATTGGAGACACTGTGACGGCATTACAGCCCAGTGATTTCAATATTCTCGCAAGCAAGTCCGAGGGCTACTCTGGAAGCGACATCACTAACCTGGTGCAACGTGCGCTTATGCGCCCAGTGCGCAAGGTTTTGCAGGCAACACACTTCAAACCGGTAGGTTCAGGCTCCCAAGTCCAAGTCTGCCAAGACTTGCCCTCGATAGCCCCAATGTACTCACACTAGTGTAGGTGATGAAGGATGGCAAGCGGATGTTGACCCCATGCTCGCCTGGTGACCCGGAAAAGATCGAGATGACCTACGACGACGTCAAGAGCGACGAACTGCTAGCGCCTGACGTTGCGCTGCAGGACTTCGAGGTGGCACTGGAGGATTCGCACCCGACCGTGGGTAAGGAAGACATTGCGAAACAGGTAGAATGGACGAATAATTTTGGAAGCGACGGCGCATGATTGGGAAGCACAGAAGAGACGGAGGATAGCGATGGAGAAGTTCTCGGATGCTTTTAAGGCCTATTTACAATGCATCACGGCGTCTACGGGAGTTTCTGGCATGTGGGCTTTTGATATATCACCCTTTGGGACGAAACAGACTTGGGACAAACAGATTATAAATCCAGAGTTTATTGTTCTGTCATTTTTCTCCATCTCCCTTAAATAATGAGGCGTTGCTTGAGTTTGGGATTGCTACTTCGCCTTGAATGATATGAGAGAGATGTGTTGGATGTAGGCTTGTCGTCCAATGTCCACTCTAAGTGATATGCAACAGCTGCTCCCATGTGCGCCCTTACCTCGCAACATTCTTCAAAGCAGATTACACTAACCGCAAATATAGACTTCAATCTATAGTTACCTAAAAACCTCAAGAATTGGGCCCATTCCAAGAGGATTCCCAAGACTGGTGTAAGCAATCGTCGGCTCTAGGGTGGGTGAAAATACTGCTACGTCATTAGACAGACCAAGCTCTTGCCCTGCAAATTGGGCGGTCAGACCCGGCAGAACTTTTTCCACCATCGCCAAAGCCAAACCGATGAACTCAATTAAAGCGATCGACTGCCGTGCCTCACCTCCTTCTCCTCCTGCTAGCTAGCTGTTCCATGTTGGCACGCTTTTGCCATGGGCCAGCGCCCCAGCTTGTGCGGCTCCTGGGCTGTACCTACCGCCCATATCCAGCCTTCCAGAGCGCCGCGATAGGAACAGCTGCCCGACCCAATGCGAGAACGTTCACGACCGCGCGCATGTGTATGGCGAAGTCGAAGCCTAAGCCCGAGGACGGAACCAGCACACCCGAGAAGAAGCCCCGGAAATCAAGAAAAACCTCTGAAGCTGTGCCAGAGAATGGGGCTGAAGGGTCGACGCCGAAGAAAAAACGGGCAGCCAAGAAAACCCCCGAAGCCGAACCAGAAACTGGGATTGAAGTAGAGCCCACACCGAAGAAACGACAGTCAAAGAAGAAGAGTACGGAAGCCGTACTAGAAAATGGGGTTGAAGAACCGAAACCGAGGAAAAGACGGGCGACTAAGAAAGCTCCTGAATCTGCATTAGAAACTGGGACTGAGGCAGAGCCTGCGCCGAGGAAGAGACGGTCAACCAAGAAAACCCTCGAACCGGTGGTGGAAACCGGGACTGAGGTAGAGCCCACGCCGAAGAAACGACGGGGAACCAAGAAGAGCACTGAAGCCGTGACCGAATCCGAAGCATCCCCAAAACGTCAGCCTCGATCGTCAAAGAAACAAAGCCTACGAGAGCAAGAAGGGTTCATTGCGACAACACCAGTGGCTGAGCGCCTGGCTGAGGCTAACATATGGTCAAACAAGGCGCGCAAAAAGAAACCGTCGTCCAAGATCGACACGGATAATTTGGTGGTGGCTGACTCAACGAGGGTTAACATTGTCAGCGACAAACTCTGCGGTGCGTTATTCTTGTTTCATGAAATCATACCAGGAGCCATGGGAGCCACAACGCAGGCGCAGTTTTGCTGACAATGTATAGACGATATCATCAAGTACCTCGGACCATCTCTCGATCGACATAAAGGCTGCGATCTACTCGATATGAACCCAGGAGTTGGAGTATGGAGCCGAGCCCTCCACGATGCTGTTCAACCACGACAACACATAATGATGGAGCCCCGGGCCGAGGAGTACAGTCCCTTTCTCAAAGAGGCCATGGGCGATCGACAGAATGTCAAGATTATACCCAAACAGGGCATCATTTGGAAAGACCTGCATGAGACTCTTCAAACCCACCTCGCTCCCCATCACGCCCCGACTCCTCGCGGCCAGAAACCAGAGCGCAATGATTCCATCCTCGTCACGATGAATGTCTCTGCGTGGCCCGAAAAGCCCGTCTACTCCTTCCCGAGTCTCTCCGTCATGGTCGCGTATCAGCTCATCCGATATATACGCACGTCCTCCTTCTTCCAGCAGTACGGCCTCGTCCGCGTTCTCCTCTGGACAAACAACGACTTCAAGTACCGCCTTCTACCCCGCAGCGTCGGCGAGCGCGTGCGGTCCAACTTCGAGGCCGAACTCTCCTGCGAGTACATCCACGAGGTTGCAGGCATCGACGCCTACGACTTCAACTACTTCCGCAGAAACAGTCGCGATGAGTGGCTTAGCTATGAGTCGGCTGCCAGATGCTACCGCAACATGAAGGATCTCGGCATGGACACGATCCCCGGCCGCGAGACCCGCATGTTCAAGGCCCTTGAAGCGGACCCTGCTCAGCTGCTGAAGCCCCAAAAGCTTGCCGGCCGCAACCCCATCAGCGTCCTCCGCCCGTTCCAGGACGAGCTGGAGAAACTGGAGCAGGAAGCATCCGAACTGCCCGACTCGGCCCGCAACATTCGCCTCAACACTCTGCGAACCCGCGTCGCCGCCGAGGGCCAGGAGAACATCCTCGTCCTCGAGCTCCTCCAGACCCTCGAGAAGCTCAGCGCCATGGGTCCCTCGCACCCCGACTTCGCCCCGCTCGAGGCCGAGTTCAACAACCGCATCGACGGCATGAAGAGAAACCTCCGCGAGATCTTCTGCGCCGTCCGGGACAACTACTTCAGCTTCCGCCGCAACAAGGGTCCCACCCTCCTCTGGGACCGCCGCGCCTACGAGCCCTTAACCGCCGACCCGACCGAGTTCTGGCCCAACGCCCCCGTCTGCCTCCTCGACATCCAGCCCCGGGCCGTCGACCCCCTCTTCCACGAGGTCGGCCCATCCTCCACCCGCAGCGGCGACGTCTCCGACATCCTCCTCCGCACCGCCTTCGCCCACCGCGCCCTCAGCCTCCCCCGCGTCATGGCCTCCATGTGGCCCGGCTTCGCCGACCTCGTGGACCAGTGCCCCAGCTTCACCGACCCCCGCCTCGGCGGCTCCCACGTCTCTGGCCACGGCGAGCTCTCCGTCCGCGCCATGTCCGAGGAGAACTGGGCCGACGTCGTCCGCGCCTGGATGAACTGGCCCTTCCGCCCTCCCTATCTGACTCTGCTTGGCCGCACGCCCGACCTCTCCGGCTCCGAGTCCCATGACACTGAGGGAATAAGCGGCGCTGCTATGGGTGCTCGCAACCTGTAGATATCACCCTAGAGAGCGAGCCCCATCTCCATTCATCTCGCATAAAAATGGTTGCTCATTTTGTAAGAATACTGTAAAAATACATTGTCATGATATATAGAAGGTACACAGCATACATACACTTGCATTCAAGGCGTTGGATACAGCATACCTAGAAGAAGATACTGGTAACCAACATTCCCCATCTACACATAAGATAGTCTTGGATATGAAGGTTTTTAAATGCAATGGAAAATAAAAATATATTTGCAGCGCTTAATTGTAAGCTGGGTTGATATAAACCGAGAAAAAAATGCGTTCATGCGCCTGGCCCAACGCCACCGTGCCTTATATACATCGTCTTTTATCTAGTTCAAACATCGCAATGCTAATGCTAATGAAGAAGTGTCAGAGGACGGCCTTCTGTTTCGTGTAAGACGGGAATGGCGCGAAACGACGCCATCCGCTCCGTTGTTCGTGAAAAAAGTTGAATAGATCGGGTGTGCAGCAGAAGCTTCAATGGGCCCGCTGTCATAGCTTCCACAGAGGAAGCTGAAGGTGGACATGCTCGTGATGAAACACTGATGGTCTCACCAACGCTGTCCTTGAATCAAAAGCAGGCAATGCATTTCTCCCACATCAGGAGCGAAGAAGAGTATCATCCCTTTCATGAGGCAAGCCATGCAATTTTCGATTCGTCGGTGACAGAAAGTGGGATAGCCATTCTATCCACGTACAACCTGATGCTCACCACCACCATGACCAGGTCTTTTCCAAAGATGGGTCTGCTAATACATCATCGACCCATCCGAGACTGCCTCTGTCGTCATCCGTAACTCGAGCGTACTCTAAAAGCACACGTAGGACATATATCTGCATGTCCTCCTTTCGTAAAACTTTGTCGGCCCATTCCTTCCCTTCTGTAGCAATCTTCTCGCCAGCGAGGTCATGCTTATTCTCCCCATTGACGCCCATGAAGTATTCCATGATCCCGAACCAATCCCCGAACCTGTTGTCCATAGGTACGAAGTGCTTCCAGGGAACAAGCCGGCTGTCGTGCCATTCGCGCCAGAGGGTGGACTTGATCGGCAGAGACGTGGATTTCAGGAGACCCAGATAACGACCCGAGAAGCTGTTTCCGTCAACGTCCGGCATGTACTTGTTGCTGAATTGATCGGCCATTGGGACGTTGTCTTGAACGCCAAAGTATTTCCCTGTGTAGTTGCAGCTCCCACCAGGTTGCGGCGGGTCGCACATAAGGTCTGTGAATCCAATGTCGGACCATCCTTTGACCCATTTGGACAGCTTACCCTGGGCCTGGGCCTGATTATGGTATTGTTCTTCAGGAAGGGCAAAATTCTCAGGCTGCGCACCCCTCTCAATGCTAGCGAGGGTGGTAGCATTGTTCATGGCTACGAACCGATGGCGCTGGAAACCCCGCCAATTCGTGGCTTTGTTCCGTCCTCCAGTTGCGACGCCTCGCCAGACGGCCTTATCCTTCTTGGAGGCCCACGCAGGGCCGTGGTCCTTGCCACCGGTGAAACGATCGTCTCCTTGCCAATACATCGGAGCAGGGATAAGAATCTCATTGTTGACGCTTAGCTTGGATCCGCCGAACATGGGGAACACGCTATGGGTCGCAGAAGTCGAAATAGGCGCAATGAGGATGCCCTCAAGACCTTGGAGATCAGGTTGATGACAGAGATCAGAGGAGAGTGTAAAGTTGGAAACGTAGCCCTTGTAGAGATGAGGTTCGGCCATCTTCATGCTGATTTCCGGTCGATTCGCCCAAGACATTTGGAGTTCGGTGGTTCGCGCTAGGCTCTTGGGAGAGCAACCCTGACGGACAATGTCCCAAGATGAATTTCCTTCTGCGGGAACTTGTTAGTCACGAATCATAAACTAAAAACGACGGGCAAGCCACTTACTGCCACTGTACCAAATCTTGCCATCCTTCTTCTTGTCAAGCACGATTTCATCAGTCTTGACAACCTCTTCATCGTCCAAGGTTCCCTCCTCCGTCAAAGTCCCCTGCACATCTTTTGTGTTAACCTCCTCCTGGGTATCTTCATCTGCTCTCTTTTGCATCGTCACGTCCGTCTCGGTCTTCGTATTGGCCGTGCTGTCGGTCCCTTTTCCAACTCCTGATTTGATTCCCTGCTCAGTGCCCTTCTCAGTTGTCGTCCCTGTTTTCTTCTCAGTTCCCTTGCGAGATGTCTCAGTTGTCTTTCCTGCTCCCTTGTCCGTCGTCTTCCCAGTGCTCTTGTCGCTTGCTTTCTCGGTACCCTTCTCCGCCACCTTCTTAGGAGGCTTGATGGGTCTCCCTTTAGCATCCAGCTTGGGTTTTGGGGGCGGGGGAGGGGGCAGCTTCTGAAAATCGGATCGCACGTTCTTCGCCTTTGGCAATTTGACAGTCTTGGCCGCAGCCTTCATAAACTTCACCATTTCTTCGTGGGGCGCCACCAGTCGAGGCTCGTCCATGGGGTTGAGCGCCAAATCCATATCTGGCAACAAGTGCTCGATTGTCTTGAGAAGCTCGAGCCAAATTTCAGTCCAGAACCAATCACTACCAGTTGTCGCCTTGCCGTTCCTGACGTTGATGGTCATCTCCCAATTCACGGCTTCCTTACGGAGGAGCTTGGGCTCTATTCCCCAGAACGGCTGGATATCATCATAGATCTGGTCGAAGAAGTCCTCCACGATCACAGCACTTTTATTCTGGGCAAATTTGAACCAGGTGTCAAATCCAGGAGGAGGGTGGCGGCCTCGGCGTTTTCGATATGCTTGCGCAGCTTCCTCAACAGACTTGGACTCCTTGGAAAGGAGTTCGGCGAACGTGAGCTGAGCATCGTATATTAATTTGCCAATCGGGTGTCCATCATCTGGGTTGCTCGGCGTGGTGGCAAACGACGGCCCCTTTCCAGCTTTGTCATTCGATTCGGGGAGTTTATCGAAGGGCTCGTCCAATGTGATCACGGGCTTCGGGTTAGGGTTCGGTTCCAACAGTTGCGGCCGGTCATTGTGATCTGGCTCTGGCTGTGATTCTGAGGCGGTATGCGGAGCCTGAGGGATTGGGCGAAATTGCTCTCCCGAATTGTGACTGGAAATGTAGAGCAAGGCGAATATTAGGAGGAGGGCGAGAGCATAGCGAATGACGCCAGAGGGCCGCCGCGGAGGGAAGATTGGGGAGAAGCCTTTAGGCATGATTCACCGCTTGCGATGGTGATCGGTCGACTAGTCAGGGCCACAAGGGCCAGTCGAGAGGCGGATCAACTTTGCCTCAGTTTTGCGATCGGTTCAGGAGGTGTGTTGGAGGGGAACTCCAGGGGTCTTCGATTGAATCTGTCGCATGTGAAGGAAATTCGGCAACGGTCTCGCGATACGACGGGAGGATCTAGACTATCGTAGGTGTCGGGAGCTGAATGCGATTGATGCTAAATATATACGAGAGATGAGGATCGTGACTTTCGCAGGTCGTCGGAATACTCAGGTCGAGGGGGGGATTGGGGGTCGACGCAGATTGACGGACTGGTGTCACCAACCAAAGGAGAGAAAGGAGGACGCGGCAAGGAGGCAGAAGAAGAAGAAAGGAGAAGGATGCCAAGTTGGATGGCCCAGGTACAACGAGGAAGCAGAAAACGAGTGTGGGAGAGCGAGAATAAGAATGCGCAAGCCGACGAAGGCGTGATGACCGCAAGTCAAGTGAACCGACCAGGAAGGAGTGCAGCAAACAACCAGGTGTGGCAAGTGCCAGGAAGCAGCGTAGCAAATCAGAACAGTAGCACTTGCCTCGAGCGAGCAGAATCCCTCTATGCACCCACTCAGAGAAGGAGCGGTTTGACGGGGGCCACCAGGTACCTCCCGAGACACAGAGAGTGCGCGCAGGTACATGTACCTGTGCCCCGTGCCTGTCCCCCGGCAACACCTACCTGCCACCAAACCCACCTACAAGTACCGCCACAGTGCAACGAATCCCGTTGCAAATTCCCTACTAGTGCTACGGTGATTGCGTGGCTTTCCCTGGCGGCTGCCCTCTAGCCTGCTCTATTTAGCCCGTTGGCCAAGGTCGATCTACCAGGTACCGCTACATGGTAGGTAGCATTGCGGCCCAGTACCTGGCTGACCCCTATTCTGGCACAGGCAGTTCGTGGGGAGGCTTATTAGTAGTGCCTGTAGTCAGCAGCTCGCGATTGCTCTGCACCATATAAGAGTGCCATAATAATAGAGGCTACGCTACGCGCAATATGGCGTGGCTCTGTTGTATTATGGTGCCTGCCTCGGGTCAATTGTGCGAGCCTCGTCCTGGCTCTCCTTCAATCTTGGCTTCTGACCCCCAGGCACCTGTAATTAACGGAGGCGCCCTGCTCAGCGGATAGCCGGCCGGCGTCAGGTCTCGGGTGCTTATCGCAATCTGATACTGCATCCCAAAGCAGCCGCCGGGACAGAATAAGAATGTGAGAGACAAGGCAAAACACACCTGTGACAAGAGCAGGAACGCATAACGAACATCAACCTCCCTGCGTTGTGGCATCCAATTTCAATTCTAGCGGTGGCCAATGTCTTTCACCTGGAAGAGTGGGGATCTGAAGACTTAATGCGTGGGTTCTCCTCCAGAGTATACGCACAGTATGTACAGTATTTCTGCAAAAAGCCGTGGCCATCACCCCCAAAGACATTCTGAGTCTTGTGGGTTTGTGTGGAGAGGGTCCAGGCATGGTACATGACGGGCGGGGCAGGCAATCTGCAATCCGCCAATCCCCCTCTGAATTAAAGATGAGGGCCAGAGAACTTCCCCAACTCTGCTGGAGAGACCGACCTCTGGACGAGAAGCATTCTGGCTTCTTCTCTTAGCGCTCGATGAGAAAGCTTGGCTCATCTGGTGTGCGCGGGTATCCAGGGGCACGTCCTTCCCATTGGCTCTGCACAGCATTTAACCAAACGACCCCGTTAACGTGTTTGGCTGTTGGGCCTGTTGAAGAAGACGATCGTTTATGCCTGTTCCGGCAGTCTCCCTGTTGCACTGCCATTGTCTGTGCGACGGGTGCTACCCATTGCGTCTCAGGAATCTCATACAGTATGTATTATCCCATGCTCATGCATTAATGAGGGTGTGACATCAAAAACCCAGTTGGCTGCTTTAGTCAGACCAGGAAATAGAACAGAGAGAGGGCTTGGTTAGGTAATGGCTGCCAATCCCAATTAGCATGGGGGCCACGAGCATCAGCACATCATGGCGAGGACAGATGAGATGTGATATGCTGTTGATAATCGCAATATCTGCTGCTTCTCCTGCAGCATGCGAGCGACCTGCATCATGTGATGGAGATTGGGGATCGGCGATAATTCGCAAGGCTCTTCTGTGCCGCTTTTCCAGCTTCACGTACGAGCTTGCTATGGAAATTGATCCTTCTGTTTTGTTTGCTAATACGGCCGCTCACAACGTCACCTGTGTTCACTCCACATTCCAGATGACGAACTCGCGCACATGAAGGACTCTCCGCGGGGGCCCCGGACGAATGTGCGAGACACTGTTCGCTACTTCTCGCCAAGGTGGCAAACATACCAACCATATCCGGGGGCAGGCAGTTGACAGAACCAGCACAACCATTTCCCAGCTCATGCCAGGGAATGCGTATCCGCACGGAATGCGTATTCTCCATGGGAATTATAAATATCAGTAAACATGAACACCCATCATTTCGCTGAACCCTACGTGCCTTCTCGAAGCGACGTCATCTTACTGCACCACCATCCTTCCGCTTATCTTATCACATGCATCGTTATCGCAATCTGATGGCCACTATGGATAATTTGACCAATGATATACTCCACTCATGTTACTCAGCGAAAGCACCTGACACTGAGATTGAGGCGGGTGATTGGCTCGAGTCTCGAAACTAAGCCAGACATGCCAGATATGAGGTAATCAGTCGTGTTGCTACTGAAGCTTGTGGCGGCTATCAGTACTCGTATTTCGCAGCATGGCCTCGGAGTTGGCGGTTCTTTCACTGATAAAGCCGCTTTCTATCGGTAGAGTAAGGCGAAGAGCCGAGAATGGTGGCCCAGCCCAGCTGAACCGACGAGTTTCTGGCACACCACCGCTCTTTGACCATTCCTGGGACTGGACTCGGCGCAAGCCATCCACAAGTGGGCCAATCAATGGGTTGGCCCCAATTGCCTGCCGCTTGGGCCAGGCCAGATTCCCGACTCCAGAAAATCAGTCCAAGCAAGTCGTTCGTCCATGCCTCATGTGACCAACCACTTTCTCACCACTACCATTCAGCCTTGGGAGACAATGAGGTTTGTTCGCCATCACCAGCCTCAGCGCCCTCTGTGCCTGCAAGCCAGCAGGCTGTATATCAAACAGGCAGCGTGAGTGGCCTGCTTAATAATTGTTGTCTCTTTGCGTCCATCTTGAGCAGGGCTGTGGGAAAACACAACAAATATCGGCCCGGCGGCGTGCTGAGCTATACCATCGATATATCGTGCAGGGTCATAACCATCGCAGCCCCATCCGTTGTCTTGGACTTATGGTTTCGGCTACGTAAGATGCTGCAGCACCTCGTGTGTGTCTCGACTTTGAGGCATAATCGGCTTCGCCTACTATACCCCTAAGTGAAGGTAACTTGCATCTCGAGCAGGCTTATCGCAACCGCTAAACCCCTAAGTGAAGGTGGGCCGCACCATTTCCTCTAAGTGAAGGTGAATACATAACGTCGACGGAACGCAGCCAACTATGGACAAATCACCAGCCTGCGTGCGTTCTCATTTGCTTTCCGGTGGCTTCGCCCCGCCCGCGGCCAAACAGAAGCGAAGGCACAGTCAGATGGCTCCTCTTGCGATGGTGGTTTTTTTCGCTAATGGCAAGTGTCTGCGACCTGGCAGCTGACTCGCTCTGTCCTTTGTCGCCGCTGAATAGATTTATAAACAACCTCTGATGTCTCAAATCAATGAGCTCTTCCCTCCCTTCTCTCTCATCTCCCAAGCTCAAGCTCATCCGCTTTCCTGCGTCCACTTCCTCCGCATCCGTCCTTGGAGTATTCCATATCCGCTACCGTTGACAAGGCTGTAGCTTTGCCTCTATCTCCACCCAATCCAAACAAGCTCCAGTCCACCAATACCTACATTGATTCTGCTGTCAAGCAATCAACTCGTCGATTCACTTTTCTTTCCTTTCAAGATCATATAAAATCTTGAATCGGACACGTGCTGCTGCACACACACACTCACACAAAATGACGACAAGCCCGATCAATCAGCGCTATCTCCCCAAGCAAGACGAAGTGGGTGTCGTTGCTGTCGGCTTTTCTGGTGGCCAGGTACGTCACACCCACACACCCTCACGCATTTCGATAGATTTCGCCATGCCTCCCACACCTTTTCCCTCCCAGGGTCCTGGTCTTTCAGCCGGTCCCGTGCATGCCACGAGTCCAGCCCACGCTAACATGTTTCTTTCCATCTTCTAGCCCAAGGTTGGTGTCGATGATGGCCCGCAGGTCCTGATCGACTCAGGCCTCCTCACCCAGCTGAGCCAGGATCTCGGCTACAAGCTGTTTGGCGACGACAAGGTGAACCTGTACCGCGAGCTCCTGCCCCAGAGTGAGAATGCGGACCCACCGTTCCGCAACATGAAGAACCCGCTTGCGGCCTCGGCCGTCACACGCCGCATCGCCGAGCAGACCTACGAGCACTCTGTGCAAGGTCGCATCGCTCTGACGCTGGGCGGTGACCACAGCATCGCCATCGGCACCATCGCAGGAACCGCCAAGGCCACCCGGGAGCGCCTAGGTCGCGAAATTGGCGTCATCTGGGTGGATGCGCACGCGGACATCAACACGCCCGAGTCGAGTGACAGCGGCAACATCCACGGCATGCCCGTGGCCTTCCTGACTGGCATCGCCAAGGAGGAGCGCGAGGAGTACTTTGGCTGGCTCAAGGAGGACATGCTCCTGAACCACAGGAAGCTGGTCTACATTGGCCTGCGCGATGTCGACGCTGGCGAGAAGCGCATTCTGCGCGAGTACGGCATCAAGGCGTTCAGCATGTTCGATATTGACAGGTGCGTTCTTTCACTCCCTTCCTAAGAAGGTTGTCCAGACTGACCTGAATTAGACACGGTATCGGGCGAGTTGTAGAGATGGCCCTGGCCCACATTGGTGCCGATACCCCCATCCATCTATCGTTCGACGTGGACGCCCTGGACCCCCAATGGGCCCCCAGCACTGGAACTCCCGTCCGCGGCGGTCTGACCCTGCGCGAGGGAGACTACATCTGCGAGAGCGTTCACGAGACGGGCAACCTCATCGCTGTGGACCTGGTCGAGGTGAACCCTAACCTGGCCTCGGACGAGAAGGGCAAGCAGGAGACCATTAGAGCCGGCTCGTCGCTGGTGCGCTGTGCGCTGGGAGAGTCCCTTCTATGAGGAGTTGGATGGACTGCTGCGGAAACGATGAAGTGTGTATTCCTGTATTTCATTAGATACCAGCCTTTCACCAATTGGCACGGCGCACATGACTAGGCACAGAAAATGCTTCTGGAGGAAACAAAAATGATAATTGAAAAGTAAATTGACAATCACATGAGAAAGGGAATTTTCGTGACGGTCGACTGTGTTCCTCAGTCGCCATGGCAGAATTATATATGTAGGAGATGTTGATACTTGTAAGCCTGAATAACCATGGCCGACGGAGTCCATGCTTTTAGACCAAGCTGATCGATTACAACTACTATGTACGGCCATCTGTCCAGGATGAAGCTACTTGAACATCCGTGAGACGGGTGAATGGTGGGTCTCGGATCCGTCCATCTCCAGGACCAGGATCAGGCCCTCAAGCTGCTAGCCGATCGCCAAACAAGGGGGGATGACCTTTCCCTCCCAGTTATGCATCGTCCCTAGACCTAGATGTGCATACTATGTAGATTATGTAGAGGATAGGTCGACTGGCCTCTCACCGCTGCAGACTCCACCGCTCATGGCCATCAGAATGGAAATGGAGATGGTTCCAAGGAGATAGGGTGGTATTATCTGGAAGGCTTCCATTAGAGGCAGGGGGCCGAGCCCGCACGCCGTCGTCATTTTACATACCATGCGGGTTCCTGCAAGGTTACGTGTTTATTCTCTCTCGCTTGCAGCGACCTGGAGAGGGCACTGGGACGAATCGTGGTAGTCGCGGGCTTGGCCTGTTCCCAGTGAATCAGAACCCGAGGGTTTGGCCGAGATCAGTTAATTACCATTGCCTCCTCTGCCGTTTTTCTCTCCTCGGCAAGACACTGCTGAGCGGGAAATGGGCGGTATAATCTCGTGAGGCATCACTGCATCACATCTTGCTGTAGTGCAGCTCCCTCGTGGGCTTCTGGGTGCACAGCAACCAGCCCAGCCAACGGGAAGTGAGATAGAGTACAGGGTAGCGGGAGCAGCCCCTCCCAACCCAACAGGCCCCCCAACCCGCACCCACTAACCCACTGCCCAGCGCCGGGTAGGCCCAGTGAGAGCACTGAGCCGAGTTGAGTCTACCTGATCCATCCCGCCCTGCTGAAAACACCTGCGAAAACACCTGGGCAACAGCACAGCAACCAGCTGCCAACGCCTTTTTGGCCAGTCTCAATGTCCGAATACCTCCATCACTACTAGAGCACACCACCAACAAACTTAAAAAAAAATACCCCCACCAACGCTCGACGAACCCCCATCATCCTGCCCGAGACGCTTGGTGCTTTGACATCACACTGCCGCTGCGACAACAGGAGCAAACAGAATCGAACGAACCAGCGAACGAGCGGGGGTCTCCGAGCTAGTACACCTTCTGATTGATTGTCTGCAAGATCGACGTGGCAGCCTCGCATCTCTTTAGGCACGATCTGGGCGCCCACGACGAAAAAAAACACCCATCGAGTCGAAACCCAGCCCAACATACTGCGTCGAGTCTGTCTATCCGTCATCCGTTCACCCTGCCTGGCAATTGCCTCATCTTCGACCACCCCTTCGAAACGAGACGTCCCAAGAATACAGCTTTCTTCAAAGACGGGGGCCACCCTAGCTCGGATGGTTCCTTGAGCTGTCTATTTTGCGGCTGCGGAAGATACATCTTGCTGTGGCAAGCTTGAGCTGGCCGACGGCTGTGCGCCGAACGATCTGACCTTGCACAAGGTCGAAGCGCACCGCAGCGCAGGGCGCGAAGCTCCAGCTAGCATCTCGACTAGGCATTTTGGATACCATTCGGCTGTTGCACGTCGCTCAAGATGGCAGCTACATCATACATGAGCAGCTCGCTCTACACACGGAGCAGGAGCAGGGTCGCCGCCAGCCGGATACGAACATACAATTGGCCGCCGATCCAGCTCAACTTCTGGATCTTTGTTATGCTGCTTGCCTCGACCGCCATTCTGGGTGTTTTCTCGGCTTTTGTTCAGACACAGCACCAGCTGTTGTTACCGATACCATGGTATGACCCAGCTGCTTCCCCCCTTCTGATCTTCCTCCGTCTGTTCCATTGCTAATGTCCGCATCTCGGAACGCTTTGCAGGTACTTCCCCTATTTCATGACCGTCAGCTGTCTCTCGATCATCTTCATCGCCGGCCTGTTCTGGCTGATTGCCGAGCGTCGACTCCTACCCGCGATCGTGATGATAGGCGCCTTCATCCTGTTTGTACTATGGCTCACGGGGCTCATCATTATCTCGATTGAGTTATTTGGGCCGACGGGGTCTATATCCAGCACCTGCAATAACCAGGTGTTCAGCCACAACCCCAAGGGCCAGACGATGGAGGTGCTGGCATACTTGCAACAAAAGAATATTTGTACGTCGGGATCCGTGGATCTTATTAGGAAGTCTCCTGTCGTTGATCCGTAGGCTAACTGTTGCTTTCTCCCAAATAGGCGAATCCTGGCGACTCGTCTTTGCGATGGGCCTGATAGGCACCGTTTTTCTCTTGTGGATCATGATCATGGCCTACCAGGTCTTTGTCAATTCTTGATGATCGTTCGATATCGACTTCTTTTCGTCGAGAGACCCGACAACAACAATTCGTTCCGCCTACGAGCCTAAAGCAGCAGATCTATTCATATATTTCTTCACGCTACATTACAATTATTCGATCATGTGTATCGAGAAACAAGAGGGGTTATACAGTTGCTACGAGGTTGGGGCATGGTCTTTTTTCTTTCTTTTCTTTTTGAATAACAGCGTGAGGTTTGTCTTTTGCGGTAATGTCATGACAGCGAGATATTTGCAGCGGAGACTGGTATCTACTACCCACATACAGCATTGGGACTGGCGTTTTGATTGTTGGAAAATACCGCCCGGGAAAGATGCCCGGTGTCTGAGCGCTGATGAGAGTGTTCTCCTGTTTATGTTTTGGCTCGATCCAAGTAGATTTGTGCTCTGTATCTAGGAGTTGCCCACTGAAAAGGCGACCCGTCTCATTTATTGCAATATAGCAAGGTGCGCTTGCTTATCATCTACAACTCAACTCACGCCTTACGACCCCGACTTAATAGACATGGACAATATTGAGCTTTACCCTGCCGGGCTGAGAAGTCCCCTCTTTCATGCATGTTCCTCCCCAAGATTGCTATTTGAAGAAATGGCCTGCCGCGTGCATTTCATATCCAGCGGTCCCAAAGCCCACCCGAGCCGTGCTGAAGATACCTCTCACTAACGGTCCGTCGCAGATAATCAGTGCTTCAAACGGACTGGACTGAGCACGGCACGGCGCGATCCCCACCCAGCCAAGAAGAAAGTCTGGCTTGGAGGCACGACTGCAGGAATTTGCACAGCCGCTTCCAAGAATCGGCCCATGGAGGGGCTACGACCATGCGCTTTATTTTCCCCATTCTGTCTCTGTTGCAGGCCTCCAATTGGCATAACCTTCATAACGCTAATGTCGGTATTAGTGCGATTGGCGGCCATCCATCTTGCTATGTGATCTTCCTACGTGCTTGGGGCGAGGGACCAGTCTCGAACTTGAAAGCGCAGCCGTTAAGACCATCACCACTGATCGGCGCCAGCTGTCACTTATCAAAGCTGCAGGGACGATGCAATTTCAGTCAGCGACTGGCAGACTGCACTGATGTCTCGGCGACACTCCAAAGATGTCTCTGCACCGCCGCTCCCACAGAGCTGAGCTGGTGCTGCAGAAGAAGGGTCTCATCTAGCCTATTGAAGGCTAGAGCTAAGCAATGTCATTGAGCTAGATATCCTACCCACCTGATAACTTTGACGGACACCTTAGGTGTGAGTCTAGATAGGAAGACGACGGCTAACCGAAGGCTGCGCCTCATTCCCCTCCACCCCTCTCCCCCTCAAACAAGGGTCCAGACATGCGGGATGCAGTGTGATGCGTGACTGGAACGAAGGGGAGGGGTCCATGGCTGGGTAAATGGAGCACGTATATAAGCACGGCCAGCACGCACTCATCGAAGCGCCAGCAGCACGATCATCCCTCTCCTGATCCACGCCCATTGACCTCAAGTCACTTCTGCTCCCTGCGTCATTTCGTTACCAAATTACATCCCTTCATCATGGATATGTTCAAGAATTTAGTAGGCGGCAACAAACAGAAGCCGGCCAAGGAGGGCCAGCAGGAAGACTACGTTGACAAAGGTGCGCACGGCTTATCTCGGACCTGATATTACCAACATAATACTACCCGAATGATGGACTGACATTTTACGGATGCAGCGTTCGGCGTTGCCAACAAGAAGGGCGGCTTCGGTCTCAGCAGAGACACTCAGGAGAAGATCACCGACGGTGCTCGTTCAGCCGTCGAGAAGCTCACTGGGTATGTCACTCCCCACCTAATTGTCCATTCCGTGCCCAAGTCTTTCAAGGCTCCTGCGGTGAATTTGTTTCATCTGACTGACACGCCGTGTTCCCCCCTTTCAGCAAGAAAATCGACCCCAAGATCTCCAACTGAGATTACCTACGTGGACCCCCTCACTTGCCATCTAGCTTCGTCTCTTCTCTTCTCCTTACCTACTTAGCACAGGGTCACGAATTATGCTCGGTGGACACGATAGGTCAGCGGCCGCTTTATTCAAGCGATTTAATACGTGGATGTATTTTTTAGCCTTGCAGATGAATACCAATTTATTTTTTCGTCTTATTATTGCCTCTACTTGCCCGGGCGCGATGAATTAACTCGAGGTGATCCCCACGACCACTGTCTATCAACCTGCTCCAGGCCATGTCCCCATGCCGCCCGCGTTCATTGTTTCAGCGTGGGGCTCTGAGCTGCAAGGGTTGGAGCACTCTGCCTCCATGCTGGCAGCTGTGATGTCAGCGTGCTTGTCCCCGTTGTCGTCTCGGTTGGCAGTAAGCTCTGAGTGAGTGAGGGGGGCTTACGGGATTACGAGTAAGCACCTCCCGCCACTCGCCGTGATGACCTTGGTATGTTGGAAGTCTTGGTAGTCTGGTAGGTAAGGTCTAAGCGGGAAATGTCCAGAACTTGTCAACGTTCACGCGTTGACCACAGAGTTCCCTGAAGCATAGCATCTGCTGCCCCTGCGAGGAACTCACATTGTAAATCGCCAAGCCTCATGGCGCAAGATGTTTTCAATAGGTTCTGCCGATTTCAGACTGAAGAGCTTCACTTTGGAAATCAGTGCCAGTTCTAATTTAATAAATCTACCCGCACATTATTTGGGGTATCTTGTTACTCGCTTTGCAGAAAGCGGCCAACTTGGATGATGCTCAATGGCGGGATAATATAATGCAAGATCAACATGTATATAGCGTCTGTCACATATACTCGATCTAGTGCTATTAATGGATAGACTCTCCCTCTATAGGGAGTCTTTTCGGTTCAAGGAAATGTTCCAACCTCCTCAGTGTGTTCGTAACCTTCAACTAGATAAGGGTTCTTTTCGCAAGCTAGGCAGTATCCTTATCCTAGCCTTCAGCACGAATTCTAGTTACTCACTATATCAAACTTCAAAGATCTACGCGCCTTTATTTCCACTCCAGCTACGTGTAATACAGAGCTCCAATATCCATCAACCTAAATTCAGATCCTTAGATTTAGTACTCAAGCTATAGGGGCTTCTCTACTAGACTGACTACTCCTAAGCCTGGCTGGTTGAGCGATATGTTGGGGAATCTTTACTGATATCGAGAAGTTTATAGATTATCCTCGAAGAAGAGGAGAACACGATACGGCCGCGCTCTATTACCGCCATGACTCGCGTTCCAAACCTTGTAGCCCAGTGCTTAAGGACGTTTTGTTTAATGAACGAGTCACACTTGGCCACACCATCCTCGACTCCTGTCCTCGCATACCTTACCAGGCTGGCAACCGGACTGGTAACGCCCAGGGCGTTTGTGCTCGGCCCATCTAGGCTCTCTCGGATTATCAGCAGCTATGTGATCATGTAGACCATCAACTCTAACACTATCCAAAGTCCTACAACTCAGGATCTGTTCATCTGACTAGAAACTTGAGAATTGCTCCTCATGTAAAGAGAGGTCCAGAGATCTCCCCAACTTCAAAGGCTTCCAATTATAGCCCAACAAGTAGTGTATAGTTTATATCTCCTATCTGCGATTCGGCTGCCCTTCTAGAATGATAATAGGCCTAGGAATCAACACAATTTCACTGATAGTCAGATTATGATTCAGGCCAAGTTTAAGATTGTTCATAATTTATGCGAGTGATCGCGCTTTTTGTTCATTATCAATGTTCGTATCTAGGTATGTGAAAAATTCTCGCTTTCTAAAATCCGACCCAAAAGAGAAAATCTAACAAAAGAAGAAGAGTATGAAGAAGAAGTAGGGAAGAAGAAGAAGAAGAAAACAACGCTAAATGTTCAAAAGAAATCGAGTAACACCGCACCTAGCCTCTAGTCCCAACCCAGGACTAGGGGTGCTACTTTCGCAGGCAACAGGCGGTGGCCGCTGCTGCTGAAGTAGAAAAGAAAATAATAGAAGTAGAAAAGGAAAGGCTTGGAAGTTCAGAAGCAAGCACCCGGTTGGGCGACTACCTTCGGAACTTCTCCATGATTTCCTGCGGTGTTGGCATGTGGGTAATGACCAGCACCGTGAAGAAGCAGATAACAATGATGGGCAACTGCCATGGAGTATTGGTGAAGTTTTCCAAGCCGGTCTCATTGGTGTTGATGAGAGCCACAAGACAGAGACCGACTCCGATGGTCACGACGGCTGAGGTACGAGCAATGTTGAAGATGGTCCATCCCTTTCTCTTGGAGATGAGATGGAGGATCATCAGGAAGATGAGGACCAAGCCAGCAGCGATGAAGAGGTAGGAGAGCTGCAAAAACATGCAACGTTAGCAAAACAGAAACTCTAAATGTCCAACGAGACAATTCAGGGGATTTATGTACTTACCACAAGAAGTGACCGGGCCAAGGCCTCTACAGAGGCCCTCACATCCGAGTTTTCAATTTGTTGCGCGACCTGGGTCTTCGTCTTGCCCACGGAAATACTGAAGGACTTGTAAACGACTCGCTCCAGGAGGAAACTGACGGTGTTGGTGGCATTAGTGAATGTTGCCTCCTCGGTGGCGTTCATGCCGCCTTCCAAAATGGTGCTTGGGAGGCCCTTGAATTTGTCGATGGCGTCTGAAACCACCTTCTGGTCGGCAGTAGAGTCAATACCGTACAGGTTCATGATTGTCAGTGTTGTGTTTTGGAGCGCATTGGCGACCGTCGTGATATTCTGAGATTGAGCCGCCGTCTGGAGGCTGTTGGTGAAAGTGTTGCTGATCTCAGTGAGTGCCTCGTTGGCTCGCCAGATGATTCCCCATTGGCCGGTGCCCTCAGCGAGGAGAATCAGCACGCAGTGGAAGGGGAGATGCAGGAAGGACCAGATGGCCTGTGGGACACGCTTCATGTGGTTGTGTTGGTGCATCCAGTCGAAGTACAGTGCAAAGGACAAGTACAAAATAGATGTGGCACAGAAAACGGTTCCGATGAGTGCAGAGCCTACAGTCATTTGTCAGTCAATTCTTCCAACCATATGAGTGGATGGTATACTCACTCCAGTAGGGAACGATGTTCTTAAGGTAAGTGAACTCCACAATGACAGTGATGTTCTTGGTGAGAATACTGGCACCCTCTCCAAGAACGATCAGAGTCAACACGTTGAAGCGCTCTCGCATGTGAGTTCCCTCGAAGCTAAGAGTCTCAGACAAGGCAGATTGTCCGAGGACGGTCACCAGCTCAAGAACAGCCACGGTGCACCAAATGACGAAGACATAGCCATTCAGACCAGTGGGGGTGCTCGACTTGATGGTGAGGCCGATGATGAGATACAGCAGTCCCGGGACGAAGTGGATCAGAACGGTGATGAGGACGGGGATTCGGGTCTTAGAGTAGTTGCGGGCCTGGAAGAGAACAACTCCGTACTGGGTAGCAAGCAGCAGACGTGAGAATGCCATGGTGATGCATGTGATTCTCATGATAGTCGGCAGCAAATTCTCCTTTCCAAATGAAATACCGAGAAGAGTGAAGCCGACCAAGGAGCCCAAGTGGCAAGCAAAGCCCATACGTGCCAGGATACCATCCTGTCCAAATCGAACGATGTACACAGAAGTAACGAACCAGGTTGTCCAGAGAAGCACAAAGTATGCGATGAAGATGTACAGAGTCGACTCTTCGGTGATGGGGTTGGCCGAGGAGAACACTGTAAGGTTGGCGACGAACCAAAGATCGTAGAACAGCTAGAGTAGCAAGATGTGTAAGTCAATTGAGCGACGTAATGAGATGGGGATCGGGGGCCGATGATGCTCACCTCTGGTGCGGTCGCAGCCTCTCTCTATTGATCCATGCGTTAGCAAATATCTCCAAATGAATACTTGAGTTCAATGTCAGTGGTGGACGTACCTTGTTGAACTCAACTCGGGACTTCCTTCGCGAGGGGCCTTCCGAGGATGAGATGCTCTCGCTTCCAGGCTCCTTGGCGAATGGCTTCTCGAGGAACTTGAGGTCAGAGCTGGCGAAGTTCATGTAGCTCGCGCCAGTTGGTGCGATGTGAGCGGCCACTGGTGCAGGCGCAACGCCGGCTTCCCTATCACTGTCCCAGTTCATGGTTGTGGATTATACAAGCGACTGTATGTGGACTGATTCGGAGGAGGTGTCAAGAAACACTTGGAGTTGACAGTCGAGAAGGAGGGCGAGGCAGCCATACTAATATTCTGATCCAGTTTGCACTGGCCATCCGTTGTTTTGTCTATTAGTCCACGGAAGTCGCTGATCCTTCCGTTCGGAAGCGTCGATGCTGCGTGGTTCAACGGCGCTGCTCCCTACCAAGCTTTTTTTTTTAATTCCAGGCTAATACCATTCCAGTAGCAATTTTTGGGGTCGATTCTATTCATGGAACGATAAGCCTGGCCGCTGACAAGGGTCCAAGCCCCAGAACAGGTTCGCAGAGTCCACAAGAGAGCTTCCAGCTTACAAGATTGGTCGCTTACTGTAGAGCCAGACAGGGGCCACGTTCAGCATGGGCCAGGCTGTCAACAGCAGCAGTTGGTACAGCGAGCATTGAATGCTGAAACCACTAATTTGGGGTTTGGAGTAAGCTGCTGGGATGTGTGGTGCTTGTGTCCCGCGAGTGAAATGAGCCACTATGCCAAAGCACGCTGTATTTTTCCACATTAGTTCACATCTGGCCAGCTAAACGCTGACTGAGAGACGATGCCCAGACTAGAGAGAGCCTGGCCACAGTCCGTCCCAGAATCATGGCACGCTAATGCATCGTCGTTGCTTCACTCGCAGTCTAGACTCTGGGCCGTTGTAATTAAGGAGCCTCACATCACACAGCAGCTGATTTGTTGGTCGCGTTGATCTTCAGTTGGCGGGACCATTGCTCCAACTTAAAGTCAGCGGACTGTTGGCCGTGTTGTTTCGCAGATTACAGGCCAGCTGCGTCTTCTTTGCAGCCGGCTGTCCCGGTCTTGATGGT